GTTTGTCAATGTATTAGTATCGTGTTCAAAAAGGGCAGATATACCTCTATGGCTGCATATTTTATGGGCTGCATGTGCCTCCACTCAATTTTTTTTTTTTTTTATAAAGTATGTTTACAAAGAAAACTCTGATAAGTTTTGGAAAGAACTGTGTGGAAATTCTTGTATATATATGCGTAAAATACACACATTTTTGTTCAGAATAATGTTGTTGTCTTTTTTGTAATAGGAAACACAATTCTACGCCATGAGATGATGAATAACTATGTAATTTACTGTTTCGTAGGATTGTAGTATTGCAGAATATAATTTGGTGATTCACAGTTATTAGAGAAAAAGACATGACACCTTCTTTCTTCTTATTCCCTTCCCTTTAGATGTAATTTTTGTTTTTATTGCGTACTGTACTCTCCTTTTTTTGTTGAGGTCGAAAGTAGATTTGTCATCGACCAATCACGAGGCAGCACTAGTATTCTGCATTCAATCGCAAAGTTGCTCAACAAGTCTGCGCATGACTTTGAAAGCCGCAAAGCGACTAACGATTCAATAATACCCAAAATAGAAAACACTTACCTTACATCTTGTTCTCATTCAAAATCAGATCGAATTATTATATGCCCTTGCAAATTTTCTCTGTTACCAATGCATATGTAAACCATTTGTGTTTTGATAACTATGTCTATGTAACCTGGATTGTTTTAAAATAAATAAAGATGATTAAAGAAACCTTAAAAAAATTATACACTAGCAACTTTTCACTCTTCTTCAGATGACATATGAGAGATTTTCCAAACTAACATGTTCTTTTACAATCAGTTTTGTTGATTCGTTCTAGGCTTCTAGTGTTCGACTAATTTATTATTGCAAAATCATCTCCAAAATAAATATTTAGATAAAAAATCGAATCGTCCAGAATTACCTACTTGCATATATAGCTGAAATCGAACTTTATAAATTCAAAATGTTTTGTCGGATCCCAACAAATTTTTGAAACAAGTATACATAAAGTTTTTAAAATTGACGATTGTGAGATCAGTAATCATTATGAGAAAAGTATCTAAATAAAATGTGTTTAGTTACGGCTTAATTCCAAAAGCAATAAGTCGATAGATGGATCATGGAATAAACTATTCATTTGGTTTTGTTAAAAGAAAGTGAGTCATGAGCATTGGGCAATGTTAGAAAGAGGTAAGGTGTGTCATGCAAATATAAATAGCAGCCAACACTATAGGATAGGGGCTTACACACAAATTTGTCATTTATTATAGACTCTTTAGTCTTTGCTTACCGGGATCACTAGGAAGTAGTAGTGGAAAGGAGCAAAACGCCTTCACTATTGGGTTTAAACAACATAGGATAATTTATATGGATAATTATCACTAAGATTTATCAAATAACCAATTAGATGATGTTCTGGATGCATGAAAAAGACGAAATCTAGATAATTAAACATCTCGACAACTCAGAGAAATTTATCCTTAATTTTGTCTTTAACTAAGAAATAATTTTATCTAATTTTTAGACAATCAAGTTTCTTTATCGAGTAAACGAATCTCCTTGATTTCATACAAATAACCTTACCTAACAAAGAGCACGAAATGTCTTATTATTCTTAGTGTGACATTTCATCTTCAAGCTGCAACTTCTATATAAACACAATAATACACATATATATATAAAATTATATTCCTTAATTAACAATTTTCCAACCAGCGTACAGCTTTTATATATAACAGTGATCAATAAACAACGAACACAAACCAAAATAAAAAATAAAAGACAAAAGATACAATGGCTTCTTCTTCGTTAACGGAACGAAACAGAGCACTCTTCTCTGTTTCTACTCTTCTCCTCTGTTTCCTCCTCTGCATCTCCGAGCAATCGAACGCTCAGTCTTCTCCAGTCTTCGCCTGTGACGTCACCGGAAACCCTTCTCTTGCCGGGCTTAGATTCTGCAATACGGGGTTGAATATCAAATCCCGAGTCACCGATCTTGTTGGAAGATTGACGTTGGAGGAGAAAATCGGGTTTTTGGGAAGCAACGCTATCGGCGTTAGCCGCCTTGGGATTCCGGCTTACAAATGGTGGTCGGAGGCACTTCATGGCGTCTCTAACGTCGGAGGTGGTAGTAGTTTCTCCGGGCAAGTCCCTGGCGCCACTAGCTTCCCACAAGTTATACTCACGGCAGCTTCTTTCAATGTGTCTTTGTTCCAAGCCATTGGCAAGGTGAAAGAACTATCTCCTTCTTCATTTTTTCTATTTTTGGATACGCTGTGAAAACTCACTCATTATGCAAATAGATTTTGTTTCTTAAGGCACAAGTAACGATTCTTATATCATCTTTTTTCCCCGATGCTTTAGACAGGAGCGTTTTCTTGCTTCTAGCTTTAATAAATTTTTATCCATGTTTTGGTTTAAGGTTGTATCGACGGAGGCGAGGGCAATGTACAATGTGGGATCAGCCGGTTTAACGTTTTGGTCACCGAATGTGAACATATTCCGGGACCCGAGATGGGGAAGAGGACAAGAGACCCCCGGCGAGGACCCAGAACTCTCAAGCAAATACGCGGTGGCTTATGTTAGAGGTCTTCAGGAGACTGACGGTGGAGATCCTAACCGTCTCAAAGTCGCTGCTTGCTGCAAACACTACACCGCATATGATGTTGACAATTGGAAAGACGTCCATCGTTTCACTTTCAACGCCGTGGTAAGAAGAAAGAGTTTTTTGGATTCTTTGAATATTATGTAACTTTTGTTATTGGTCACACTAAATACATTTCAATGTTTTATATATTGTCTGTTTTTCGTGTTATGTGATTAGGTAAACCAACAAGATATGGCTGATACGTTTCAACCACCGTTCAAGAGCTGTGTGGTTGATGGAAATGTGGCTAGTGTCATGTGTTCTTACAACCAAGTTAACGGAAAACCGACATGTGCTGATCCTGATCTGCTTTCCGGCGTGATCCGCGGACAATGGAAGTTAAACGGGTAAGGTTGTTTGTTTCTAATGGTTTAATTTTACGAAGGGTCTGGTTTTTTTTAAATCATCGGTTTTTTTTTGTTAGATACATTGTTTCGGATTGTGATTCGGTAGATGTGTTGTACACAAAACAACACTATACCAAGACTCCAGAGGAAGCTGTGGCCAAATCTATATTAGCAGGTTTGGATTTGAATTGTGATCATTTCACGGGTCAATACGCAATGAAAGCGGTCAAGGTGGGTTTGGTAAATGAAACAGCTATTGACAAAGCGATTTCAAACAATTTCGCGACTCTGATGCGTTTAGGGTTCTTCGATGGAGACCCTAAGAAGCAGCAGCTCTACGGTGGTCTTGGTCCTAATGACGTTTGCACCGCTAATAACCAAGAACTCGCTAGAGATGCCGCAAGACAAGGCATTGTCTTGCTTAAGAACTCTGCTGGCTCGCTTCCGCTCTCACCTTCCGCCATCAAAACATTAGCCGTGATCGGACCAAACGCCAACGCCACAGAAACAATGATCGGGAACTACAACGGTAAATTGAAACAAACATAAAAGAAACACAAGTGATTATCGGTCTCCCCGATTCAATTTCAAGCTTAAAATGTATGAAACCAAGATCGTATTTATCTTCAGGTATACCATGCAAGTACACAACGCCGCTTCAGGGACTGGCAGAAACGGTGTCGTCTACCTATCAGCTGGGCTGCAACGTCGCATGCGCAGAACCTGATTTAGGCTCAGCCGCTGCTCTGGCTGCTTCTGCGGATGCTGTTGTGCTCGTGATGGGCGCAGACCAATCAATTGAGCAGGAGAACCTTGACCGACTCGACCTGTATCTGCCCGGAAAACAACAAGAGCTTGTGACTCAGGTGGCTAAGGTGGCGAAAGGACCGGTGGTGCTAGTTATAATGTCCGGTGGAGCGTTTGACATTACATTCGCCAAGAACGAAGAAAAGATCACAGGCATTATGTGGGTCGGATATCCTGGTGAAGCCGGCGGTCTCGCCATTGCTGACGTCATCTTCGGTCGTCATAATCCAAGTAAAGCTCTGTTCTCCGGTTTGAACCGGTGATAATCGACCGATTCGGTTTTATGATTGTAATTTTCGTAACCGGTGATTTTTTATTGGTTAGGCGGGAATTTGCCGATGACTTGGTATCCTCAATCATATGTGGAGAAAGTTCCGATGACGAATATGAACATGAGACCCGACAAATCAAACGGGTATCCGGGTCGGACTTACAGATTTTACACCGGAGAAACCGTATACGCCTTCGGAGATGGGCTCAGTTACACTAATTTCAATCACCAGATTCTTAAAGCTCCGAAGCTAGTCTCTCTCGATCTTGACGAAAACCACGCTTGCCGATCGTCGGAATGCCAATCGGTGGACGCGATCGGACCGCACTGCGATAACGCCGTCGGAGGAGGATTAAATTTCGAGGTTCAATTGAAGGTAAGGAACGTCGGAGACAGAGAAGGGAGCCACACGGTGTTTCTGTTCACGACGCCGCCGGAAGTACACGGATCGCCGAGGAAGCATCTTCTAGGGTTCGAGAAGATTCGTTTAGGAGAAAAGGAAGAGACGGTGATTAGGTTTAACGTCGATGTGTGTAAGGATCTGAGTGTAGTTGATGAGATCGGAAAAAGGAAAATCGCGTTGGGTCATTATCTGCTCCACGTGGGTAGTTTTAAACATTCATTGACCATTAGCGTGTCATAGACTGATACGGTGAATTTATTTTTAATGGTCCATAATTAAAAGGAATAAAATTTCAAGGGCTTAAAAAAGAAAGGAATAAAGATTTTTTGGTACCAAATCGCGCGTCCTGGCGATTTGTTTCCATATATACCACGTTCAAAAATGCAATTGACTAAATTACCCTTTGAACGAATTTTGAAACATTTGTCGTCTTTCCGTCTTCTTCTTCTCAGTCACGCCACGTGCGAGTCGTGATTGTCGCCGTCGACGCTATCTTTGTCGCCGTCGTATCTTTGATAAAGGCAAAAATCGATAAACCCTACAAAAAATGGTTCTGGTCTCTGTCGTCAGATTTTAAAAAAATTAAATCAATTTTAAAAGCAGAACGACGACTTTCGAGGAATTTTATAATGAAAAAAGGGAGCAGATACTACGAAAACTCACTTTTTCTCATTCCAACTGGGTTTTAATTTCATACTTTATGGAAAAAAAGTTTCGATCTTTCTTCTCTTTAATTGGGTGTTTTTTTTTTGTTAGTTATGTTTTCTCTTATCTCGCGTTGAACTTTTGTAGGCATTGGGTTTAAGCAGTGAAGAATTGGAGATGTCACCTGACGGAGAACTTGTTCCGGTGGATTCATCGGCGGTAGTCTCGGCGAAGAGGAAGATACCTCAGTTATCAAGGAGTTGGATTTCCATAGACGCGTCAGGGCAAAAAACTGTGCTTGACGTTGACAAACACGTGATTATGCATCGTGTTCAGATCCACGCTCGTGATCTTCGGATCCTTGATCCAAATCTATTTTACCCATCTGCTATTCTGGGTCGAGAAAGAGCCATTGTTCTTAACTTAGAGGTTGGGACTTTTTTTGTTTTCTCCTCTGTTTTTGTTTTCTAGTTAATCATGTTTTGATTTGTGTTTGTTTTGGTCTGATGCAGCATATTAAGGCGATTATCACTGCCGAAGAGGTCAGTAGCAGTTTAGATTTTGATAGAAAGAGTTATTTTTTTGTCTGGCTTTTAGCTAAATCTAAATGTGAACACTTTGTTAAAAAGTTCACTATCTCGGCTGGACATTGTGATACTTATATGATGTTTGGAACATTTTCTCTCCTTTTGAAGTGATGATGGCTTGGTTTGGTTATTTGAACATGCTTACAGGTTTTGATTCGGGATTCTTCAGATGAAAATGTTATTCCTGTCCTGGAGGAGTTTCAGAGAAGATTGCCTGTAGGCAACGAGGCACATGGTGGTCACGGAGATGGTGATGTGGGTGAAGAAGATGGTACCCCTCAAATTTTGTCATATAAAGCATTGAAAATCTGGAATGTTTTAAATCTTTTCATGTCTACATAAGAACCATTCACTCTTGTCACTTTGGCATTGAAATGATTGCTTTTACTATTTAGAATCCCCGTTTGAATTTCGGGCGCTAGAGGTGGCTTTGGAAGCTATTTGTAGTTTTCTAGCTGCAAGGACAACAGAACTAGAGAAGTCTGCTTATCCTGCTTTGGATGAACTTACCTTGAAGGTAGCCAACTCTGCAATTATTGTCATTACTGATCTATTTCCAACTACATTTAACTTTATTTCATTTTGTAGATAAGTAGCCGTAACTTGGAAAGGGTTCGTAAATTGAAGAGTGCCATGACCCGATTGACAGCTCGGGTCCAAAAGGTGAGTATCTATCACTGGGAAACGGAGTCTATGTTTAGAAAGAATTATGTATAATGCTTAAGCCTCATGACTATCCACTGTGTCTTAAAGGGAGTCCTGCATACACTTATCTTGTGTTGCCACTTATACTATGAGTATTATGGTTCCTGACATATTTCAAGTGAACATTCAAGGAAATAGACTGATCAAAGTATATGATAGTGGAATAGAGAAGAATTGAGCTCTCTCGTCGCTTTTTTTTCAGGTAAGGGATGAGCTTGAACAGTTGTTGGATGATGACGGTGATATGGCTGATCTCTACCTTACAAGGAAATTTGTTGGTGCATCTTCATCGATCAGCGTTTCAGATGAACCCATTTGGTATCCTACGTCCCCAACAATAGGTTCTAAGATTTCCAGAGCAAGTAGAGTAAGTTTAGCCACGGTTCGTGGGGACGATGAAAATGATGTTGAAGAGGTTGAGATGTTGCTTGAGGTAATACGTGTTTTCAGCTACATATTAAGTATAAACAACCATTAATTTGATTTTTGTTTAACAGGCATACTTCATGCAAATTGACAGCACTTTGAACAAATTAACCGAGGTATTGTATCTTCTTGTTCCAGTTTCTTTTCTAGTGGTGAATCTTTGTGATATCTCTGACTTAGAAAGTATAATTGAACATGATGCAGCTACGCGAGTATATTGATGACACAGAGGATTACATTAACATCCAGGTAGGTAACCAAAATGAAAAGTCAGATTTCTTAAATGTTATGAAATGTAATCTCTCTTACAGGCTATAATCACTGTTTATTTGCAGTTAGACAATCATCGAAATCAGCTGATTCAGGTGAGTGAATAAAAAAAAAGATCCAAGATTAATAATGTTTTGTTTATATTTTGATGCATATGAAAAACACTCAAATTATCTGCAGTTAGAGCTAATGTTAAGCTCTGGAACCGTTTGTGTATCAATGTACTCAATGGTCGCCGGAATATTCGGCATGAACATTCCCTACACATGGAACCACGACCATGGATACATTTTCAAATGGGTACGAGTCACATTTCAGTTTCCAGGAGAAAGAAAAATCTCAACCTGATATCATTTGGTGTGTGTTTGTTTGTTGTTGTTGTTGATGAAGGTGGTAAGTCTCACGGGAACATTTTGCGCAGTCTTGTTCGTGATTATACTGTCGTACGCTCGGTTTAGAGGCCTCATCGGATCTTAATGACAAGACAAGAGAGGACAATTGGTACAGATTTATAACAAAGAATGTGAGAGCAGATCTTGTTTTTGGGGGGCCTCTTCTCGCCAGCAATTTCGTTACTAGTGATGGGATTGTATTTTGTACTGTGTGACTACATTTTGTATTGAATATGCAACTTGATGATACCAAACCCAAACCAAAAAATACGAATTTGTTACACAAAGCCGGAACCAAATTACAAGTTCGGTTTTCAGTTCGAATTGAATATTCTCTGACCTGAACCGAACCAAAATGATTTCGGATCTCCAACAACCCGAATTAGACCAATTCGAATTTGGTATTTTGATTGCAGCCTCCAGAGAAGAACACGACTCGTCCATTCTCAAATAGATCTCTCCCTCTTTCGTCGCTCTTTGTTTTTCTTCACTGGTCTTTGTTTCTCCTTCGATTCTCTGTCTGGAGCAGTCTCAGATCCACCAGGTATTCAATTTTCTTCTAGTACATCTGATTTCCCTTGTTGGGTTGTTATTGTTTGCTTGATATGGATTCATGAAATCAGAAATTGCATATCTATTTTTGTTAAATTAAAGTTTCCAACTTTAAGAATTCCCACCCAAGAATACCTAAATCAGCACCTTTAGACTTTGTTTTGTCCCCAACTTTCGTCTTTGTTTAGATCTTCGCCTTCTTCTTCCTCAGAGTGCTTTACAGAGACTTTAGGTTTTGTTTCTAACTGACACGAATTGTTCTGAAAACTGGGTGCAGATTATTGCTCGAAGCTCAAGATGGATTCTACTAGAGATGATGATGATTTCACATTCTCAAAAGTTAGTTTCCCACTCATTTCTTCAGGATTTCATAGTTTATGAAAAAACGTGAAAGTTTTAGACTTTATGATTGATTCTTGGTTTGTTTCATTTTGAAGGTCGCGCCACCAGATAGTGAAGCTGTTCTTGAGGCAAAAGCTCTTGCATCAGATGTGGGTAGTATTACCCTTAAAGATGCATTAGATCAACAAAGCAATGGTCTTATTTGGAAAGACAAGTCTCTTCCTCCTAAGGAAGAAACAGTAGGTTCTTTGTCTTTCAATGTGATTGATTCTTCATCTTTGAAAAAGCAGTCCAATGAATCATCTGAGACTTTCAAAACTCCTGCTAGAAAGCCTATCACTCGTACCAAAGTTCCTTTTGAAAAAGGTTATAGCCAAATGGATTGGTTGAAACTTACACGAACACATCCCGATCTTGCAGGTAAGCAAAGCGTTCTTTGTTGATCGTCTTTTCCTAAATTACATTTTGATGTGTTACATAAAAGATGCAATTTGTTTTGCAGGCTTGAAGGGAGAGTCAAACAAGAGGCTTATTCCAATGGATGAAGTAAAGAAGCACCAATCAGGAGATTCAATGTGGACTGTTTTGAAAGGTCGTGTGTACAACATATCACCTTATATGAATTTTCATCCTGGAGGTGTCGATATGCTGATGAAAGCTGTTGGAAGAGACGGTACGCTCTTATTCAACAAATACCATGCTTGGGTCAATGTTGATATGTTACTTGAGAAATGCCTTGTTGGAGTTTTGGATGTTACCAAAGTGAAGAAGCAAGAAGCCTAATTGCTATTGCTAAAAGGGTTGAGATTGTCATATACTCGTGTAGAGGATTCATAAGTCAATAAGAATTATTTTAGTGTTCACATTCTGTCTGATTCTTCAGATGAAAACGCTGATCACAATATGTAATGTGTATTAGACTTTTATACAACTCATTGATGTCAATATATATTCAAAGTTTCCACTGCAATGATATCATGTTCTCTTTTGACAACATTTAAGAATGACAAACTATAGATGATTAAATTGAATCTATACAAACCCAAGTTGGCTTCTGTGACAGCTTCCACTACAATTTTTAAACTGTATACCAAATGGTAAAAACAAGAACAAGGTTAATGTCTTAAAAACCCATTTTTACAAGTTTTGTTTTGTAGCAAACTTGTATCATCAATTTACCCAATCAGAGTGAGGGCTAAACCGGACTATTCAAGAAAACCGCTTTTTTGTTTTCTCCCCAATCAGAGCCGGACAAAGACCGAGGGTAGTTTAGGTATTTCATGGCCAAGACAAAACCTGACTCGTCCACCCTTATAAATAATTACACCATCATTTTTGCCAATAGTCGTTTGTCTTGTTTCTTCGACACCTGTTTCTGAAATTTTCTTCTTGTTTTCTCCTTGGAATTCTATCTGGAGCCCGAGTTTCAGATCCACCAGGTTTTGGATTCTCTTCTTGATTCTTTGTTGCTCTAACTCACCGTACATGTAATTTTCTTCCGGATTTTTTTTTTATTATTTTTGCTTAATCTGAGTTCATGAGTAATAATGCATGACTGTTCCTATCTTTAGACTTCGTTTTGTCTTAAGTTTTGTCGAATAGAAATCATTCTTATGTGGATTACGAATAGAATTAGAATTACGTGATGAATCTTGTTTTTTAGATCTTCTTCTTCTCCAAAGTGCTTTATGTTCTTTTTTGTTTATTGGTTTGTTCATAAGCTTTCTTCTGATACTAGGATGAGATAATCTTTTCCGGTGTTTTCTGATCCTGCTTGCAATATTCAATCTTCCAAGTCAAAACTTCTGAAAACAAATATTTTCTCAGATTTTGGGATCTTGTGTTTGGATCTTCAATCATAATTCTAATGACATATTGTATTACAAAAGAATAAATGCTGACTTTGGACTTTATGATGATATTATTGATTACCATTGCTCAATTCTGTTCTTTTGTGAATTATATTTGAGTAAAGATGTACAATTTCATCTCACCGTAATGCTGCAATAGTCATTTGGTTAGTTCTTGGTCTTCTGTCTCAGGCAGAGTACGTAGCTCTTCCAATCTCGTTAATGCTTGCTTTTATGAATATAATCCCCTAGATTTTTCTTTGTCTCGGTCATCCTTTTGCCACATTTCAGTTTTTTTTTTTTTCCGCTTGTACAATGTTCTTTGCATCTCGTTAAATCTCAAGTTGAATGCTTTCTGGATTTCTTCTCAGGTCCCGTGGACAATTCTCACAGCAGCATACTTCAATAAAGACTATTGCTTTACAGTATTACACCAGCAGGATAGTTCTGCTTTCCCATTCTTGAAGATGGACAGGGCAGATACATCGGGCTTTGTAAGTGGCGGCAGTTGTTCATCTCTCAAGTTTCTCCAATATATGCTTATAGCTACAGTTATGATGTTCTAAGTGGTAGTTTCTTCGGAGTTCATCTATATCCTTTTCACTTTCTTATGAATTTGAACGACGGTGTAGTTCATCTCTCTAATGCCGTTAATATGGGTGACACCGCTCTTAGCCTGAAGTGTCTTGGGGGCTCTGAAAACCAATTTTGTTCCGATGTTTCTAATTTCACTGATGATGGTTGCCGGTTAGTCCTAGGATTGGGTCCAACGTCGGCTTCATACTGTTTTAGTGTCGGCGTTAATAACAGCAACAAAGATTCTGCTTCTGGATTCAGTCAAGTACTCGCTGATTCAGTTCTGCAACTTGGTCGTCCTGCTGTAAGCATAGACACTTTCAGCGGACTTGATTGTTCATTGTCGGCATATACAGAGCCCCGAGTTGCTATCAATAATGGTGGACAACGTGTGATCCCTGTTGTTGATGAAGGTTCTTCTTCTGCAAAGAGATCAGGTGGATACATGCCATCACTTCTGTTAGATCCAACTGTTAGAAACCCTTCACAGATGCAACAACTTAAAGATTTTGGAACCGGCATCCATTCGCAAGTGAGTCTAGAACCATCACCGTACACAGCGTTATCTGTACAGCAGAGGACTAGCAATCCGAGGAAGTGTAAATTTATGGGATGTTTGAAAGGAGCTCGAGGCTCATCAGGGCTCTGCATTAGCCATGGAGGTGGCCAGAGATGCCAAAAACCAGGCTGCAACAAAGGTGCGGAGAGTAGAACTACCTTTTGCAAAACTCATGGTGGAGGGAAGAGATGTGAGCACTTGGGATGCACGAAGAGCGCTGAAGGAAAAACAGACTTCTGCATATCTCATGGTGGTGGAAGACGTTGTGAGTTCCTCGAAGGCTGTGACAAAGCAGCCCGTGGAAAATCGGGCCTCTGCATTAAACACGGTGGTGGCAAAAGATGTAATATTGAAAACTGTACACGAAGTGCTGAAGGACAAGCTGGTCTTTGTATTTCCCATGGTGGTGGAAAACGCTGTCAGTTTTCTTCAGGTTGTGAGAAAGGAGCTCAAGGAAGTACAAACTACTGCAAAGCCCATGGAGGCGGAAAACGCTGCATATTTTCAGGATGTAGCAAAGGAGCAGAAGGTAGTACTCCTCTGTGTAAAGCACACGGTGGTGGGAAACGCTGTCTGGCTGATGGAGGCGGGATTTGCTCTAAAAGCGTGCACGGTGGGACTAACTTCTGTGTTGCTCATGGTGGTGGGAAAAGATGTGTTGTGGCGGGGTGTACAAAAAGTGCGCGTGGTCGCACTGACTGTTGTGTTAAACACGGTGGTGGAAAACGTTGCAAGATTGTCGATTGTGAGAAGAGTGCTCAGGGTAGTACTGATTTCTGTAAAGCTCACGGTGGTGGGAAACGATGTTCTTGGGGAGAAGGGAAATGTGAGAAATTCGCCAGAGGAAAGAGCGGTTTATGCGCTGCACATAACACTATTATGTCTCGGGAGAACGAAGGTGGAAGCAAGAGCGGTTTGATTGGACCGGGACTCTTCAGTGGCCTTGTTTTTGGCTCTACTTCTGATCATTCTCAGTCTGGAGTTAGCGCTGTCTCTGATTGCACCGATTCTGTTGATCGAATACAGTTTGAGAATAGGCAGAAGAATAAGAAGATGATGATACCGATGCAGGTTCTAGTACCTTCATCAATGAAATCTCCAAGTACTTCACATGAAGGAGAAACAAACATCTATGACTTCATGGTTCCGGAGGAGAGAGTTCACGGCGGCGGGCTAATAATGTCTTTACTTGGTGGCTCCATTGATCGAAACTGAAAGCCATTTATGGTCACCTTCTCAGCAAAAACCTGTGTAAAGCTGTAAAATGTGTTATAAGCAGATGTGGGAATCCTTTGTACATTTTCATGGGTCGTTTTGGTTTTTGGATAAGCAGATGTTGCTCTTTGTCATCTAAACCGATGACTCAAAACCCAAGTCTTGTTTCTTGGTTATACATCATTGGATATTATTATGCTGGATCAGTGGTCAAACCACACTTCCCGGTTGATAAATAAATAAACGTTTTTGTTTTAGAATCCTTTTCATTAAACGGTGTTTAAACCGAATTAACTAGCTCAGTTATGGGCCTTTAGTGGGCTTCTTTACAATCACCAATTCAATTGTCAAACGCAAATCTACCATTTTTAGGTTCATGTAAAAATCTAAAAACTATTTGCTACGGAAAATTTGAGAGCCACAACGGTCACGAGACAAAAAACAACAACTTGAAGATAAAAGGATAAGGGAGGCTTCCTACAAAATGAACAACATTTCTTTCCACACAAATTCTCATAATAAAAAGTCCCTATTAAATAAAAATCATATAATACAAAATACTTAATAACGTTATATTCTTTCAATCTAGTCCCCATGTTTTAAGTCCTCTTTCTTGTCTGACATACAAATAAAAAACTCACTGATAGCTTTCTAACGAGAGCAAACAGAGGCACACAACAATGGAGTTTCGTGGAGATGCCAGCCAGAGGATTGCTAGGATTTCAGCTCATCTTCAACCTTCTTTCACTCCTCAGGTTTTCTTTACTTTTACTTCTAACTCAAGTTATCTTCTTTGGTTTTTAAGTCAAGTTGGTTGTTCTAAACCAGAATAGTTTTTTGTATTCACTCTCAAACAAAACTGATATTGTCTCAGATTCATCAACGTTCTTAGTTTTTTTCATCAAGATTCAAACTTGAGTCCAATCAAGAATTTCAATTTCTAGTTAGCTGAAGATTTCTGATGCCATAGAAAGACCAATCTCTTTTCTTCCATTGATCGATCATTAGATGGAGACGAAGGCCTCGTTAATGGGACGAGAAAACTGCAGAGCCAAAGGTGGGAATCCAGGATTCAAAGTAGCAATCCTTGGAGCTGCAGGTGGAATTGGACAATCTTTATCTTTGCTGATGAAGATGAACCCTCTTGTCTCTTTACTTCATCTCTACGATGTTGTCAATGCACCCGGCGTCACAGCTGACGTCAGTCATATGGACACTGGAGCTGTTGTAAGTACCTCTCATCAACTTTGAAACTTCACATAATATTTACATCTTCTTGCTAAAGAATGAGTAATGACCACACTTGATGATTATTAGGTCCGCGGATTCTTGGGAGCGAAGCAGCTTGAGGACGCGCTAACGGGTATGGATCTTGTGATCATACCAGCTGGTGTACCGAGGAAACCAGGGATGACCCGTGATGATCTGTTTAAAATCAATGCTGGGATTGTTAAGACACTATGTGAAGGTGTAGCAAAATGTTGTCCTAGTGCTATTGTCAACTTGATCAGCAACCCTGTGAACTCTACTGTCCCCATTGCCGCTGAGGTTTTCAAGAAAGCTGGAACTTATGATCCTAAGAAGCTCCTTGGAGTTACTACACTCGATGTTGCTCGTGCCAATACATTTGTGGTAACAATGCCTAATGATCCCTCACTCCATTTCGTTTTGTTGACTTTTAAACACCAAGATTTGATATTTTTCTGTTCTTGTGCAGGCAGAAGTTCTTGGCCTTGATCCAAGAGAAGTCGATGTACCAGTCGTTGGGGGACACGCTGGAGTCACAATCTTGCCACTACTGTCACAGGTATCATATGAATAGAAGGCGAGGCTCAGTTCCATAACATTAGCTTCTCTGCTAATTTATGTTTTTTTGCATAATATTTCTTCATCAGGTTAAACCTCCTAGCAGCTTCACACCTTCAGAAATAGAGTACCTCACAAACCGGATTCAAAATGGTGGAACTGAAGTTGTGGAGGCAAAAGCTGGAGCTGGATCTGCAACACTTTCCATGGTAAAACCAAACCAAATCACTTTAATACATCACCATAACACTTGTTTATTTCTCTGGAACAATGTACTGAATCCATGTAAATGTACTACTACTACAGGCATATGCTGCAGCCAAGTTTGCAGATGCTTGCCTTCGCGGGTTAAGAGGAGATGCTAATGTCGTAGAATGCTCTTTTGTTGCTTCACAGGTAAATCTTGAAAACTCTTTCACTCTCTTTCATTGTGTCAAATCAACGCTTTTAACTTGTAATGGCAATTGACCACAGGTGACAGAGTTAGCTTTCTTTGCAACAAAAGTGCGCCTTGGCCGTACAGGAGCAGAGGAAGTGTATCAGCTTGGACCCTTAAACCAATACGAAAGGTCTGAAAAACATAACTCATCTCTTTCAAATTACTTGTCTCAGAAAGAAAGAAAGAAAGAAAGAGAGTTCTCAATATGTATCTTGATTTCTGTATTGTTCTACAGGATTGGTCTGGAGAAAGCAAAAGAAGAACTAGCCGGAAGTATTCAGAAAGGTGTCGAATTCATCAGAAAATGAAACTGAGAGATAATCAGAGAGATACAATAAGATCTTTCCTCAATCATATATAATCATGTTGTTACTCTTCATGCCTATGTCTCCCTCTGCTGCTTCAACTTTGTAAATTCCTTATCAGTTTGTGTACTATGTAACCTTTTCAACGTACTTCTATCTATGGTTTTCAATGATCCAATACCAATCTTTAGAAACGTTTGCAAAACAGAGATCATCTTCGCAAAAATTAAAATGAAAAAAAACAAATGGCTTCGCCCGGGTTCGAACCGGAGACCTTCAGTGTGTTAGACTGACGTGATAACCAACTACACCACGAAACCTTTGTGCTAACGAATCCAAATTTTATGTATTTATATGATTATTGCCAAATTTTATGTATTTATATAGGTTGGTAATACCTACTCAATAGTCAACAAAACCCCACGTGATCTATAACATAGAATAAAATAATCTTTGTTCTTTTTTTTTTTTTTTTGTGTTCTGTCTTCTTGGTGATAAAGAATAAAGAGAGCCAGTGAGGGTAAAACGAAGGGCCACCATTTTCAATCTTTCCACAATAATGGCGGCTACTAGAGTGTTAACTGCTGCGACGGCCGTAACCCAAACCACATCGTGTTTCCTCGCCAAGCGAGCTTTCATTCTACCGGCGAAGAAATCCTGCGGTGGATTTGGCGGTCTCTGCTTCAGAAGAGCTTTGGTGTTGAAATCTAAGAGACCCTACTCCTGCAGTGCCATTTACAATCCTCAGGTTAAGGTTCAAGAAGAGGGTCAGCCCGAATCTCTAGATTATCGGGTTTTCTTCCTCGATGGTTCCGGAAAGAAGGTACCTTTTGTTTCTGACTTCTCCGTTTTGTGTCTCTCTGTCTTCAATATTAAAGCTTGGTCTTACTGGACAAGTATTTAGGAAATGGATTCTCTGTTTCACCTAAATTCTGAGTTTTTGGGTATATATCACATTGTTATTTGGCTATGTAATGAAGAAATCTTATCTGGGATTGCTACCTTTGTTTTGAAAGATCTACATTTTGAATGTTGTTAATTGAAATGGTTTTGGTTCATTACTCTGTTCTGTGTTTTGTTAAGGCTGAGTAAGGATTTATATGCATTTGTGTATAGCTTTCTCCATGGCATGATATACCCTTGACCTTAGGAGATGGAGTCTTCAACTTTATAGTTGAAATACCTAAAGAGTCAAAAGCAAAAATGGAGGTTGCTACTGATGAAGATTTCACTCCTATTAAGCAAGATACTAAGAAGGGCAAGCTCAGATATTATCCGTAAGTATATACATAGCTTTCTCTGTTTTCTTGAGTTTTGCTTTCCTTTTAAGTTGAATTTTAAGAGGCTTCATCATCCATTTCGGATTATAGACTGTGAAATCAATGACTTATGGAATGGATTTTATCCAGGTATAACATAAACTGGAACTATGGGTTGCTTCCACAGACATGGGAAGATCCATCTCACGCAAATTCTGAAGTTGAAGGATGTTTTGGGGATAATGATCCAGGTGAATCTGTGATACTCCTTTTATCTATTGGAAAATGATATCTCTTTGGAACAAAAAGAATGTGCTTATTCTTGGTTTGGGTTTGGGTTTGTAGTTGATGTTGTTGAGATTGGTGAAACTCAAAGGAAGATAGGAGATGTTCTAAAAATCAAGCCTTTAGCTGCTTTAGCTATGATTGATGAAGGAGAGCTAGACTGGAAGATTGTTGCTATTTCTTTGGATGACCCAAAAGCTCATCTTGTGAATGATGTTGAAGATGTTGAGAAACATTTCCCGGTACGAGCTAATCTAGTAGTATAAACCAATGCCTTTAGGTTCATGCAAAAACAAAATATATGAATTCTGTTATTGACCCTAAATCCGTTGATCAGGGTACACTAACAGCCATTAAAGACTGGTTTAGAGACTACAAGATCCCAGACGGAAAGCCTGCTAACAGATTTGGTCTTGGAGACAAACCAGTAAACAAAGTAAGTTCTTCATTTTATCTTCTCTAGTGGTGGTTCTTTATGTTTGGTACTATACCTGAGAGGAGCTATCTTAACAGGAATATGCTTTGAAGATCATCCATGAAACAAATGAATCATGGGCTAAACTTGTGAAGAGATCAGTTGATGCTGGAGACCTTTCACTTTACTGAACATATCTTGCTATGTCCAATTATGAGGTCGAATAATGAACAGACTGGAGAGTCCTATATCATTCTTGTTTTTCTTTCATTTGAGATGTAAACATTGGGATTTGTTTTTCACCATTGATGACTAAGAAATAATAAAATGACATTTTGCTTTGAAAATATTCATATGGAAACATGAAACAGGGTCCATGAAACAGAGCAGAAGCTCTGTTTCGAAGTGCAACAACACAAAGTCATAGAAGATTTAGGCAGCAATGGCTGAAGATTTATGGAAACAATGAAAGCATGAGTGGGGATCTTTAGGAGATGGAGTTTTCAACTAATAGTTGAAATACCTATAGAGTCGAATGTAGGTAACATGTGGTAAAATTACAATTCACTGGATATTAGTTTAACTGGAAAAAACAACAAAGAGAGAAAAAGAGAGAAGTGAGTGAGAATCTTCAGAGAGGTTTTCCATCAATCCATCTTCTGAACACAAGTGAGCATTGATCTGGATTATACTCTGCTGTGTGTCCTCCTCCCTGCAAACCACACAATCGAAACACTCTATATCACGTTTTGTTTTTTTCTGCAGAAACTTTGGACAAGACAAGAAAGAAAGGGTTTAGAAATGATTGCCTTGATGGTTGCAAATGTCATCTTATTCGCGTAAGTCCTTGTATATCTACAAACACCGATAACAAGGAGTGTCTTTAAAGATACTGAAATTGATCAGAATGGAGTTAGAAACACTGTTTTTTTTAATACCCAGCAACTTGATTGCTACTCATCATCCAAGCTCTCCAGTCATCAACAATGGAATAGTTGAGAGCTCTGATCCATGCTTGAGTTGAAGAGAAGGGTACCATAGAATCATGATCACCACTGTCTCAAGTACATGAGTTTGTCAAATCATAAAGATACAAAAAAAAGTAGTGCTTATACTTAACATTTCAAAGAAGGAAAAAGAAAAACTACTAACTAATATCAAACAATGATACATCAACAAATATTAATCTTGCCTGTAGATGAGAGAGCGGAAGCCTTTAAGACTATTGTTTACGTGATACGGAAATGCATTGTTAATCTCAAATGTATATGGTATGTTTTGGCTGTTGCATCGGTTCCATTTTCCTACTCCCTGCATCACATTTTGAACTGGTGATTTGTGTTTGTTATGTTTTGTATAGAACCAAGTCAACCAACAAAAAAAAAAGAATTCACATAGGTACCGTCTTCACGCCTAGAGCTCTGCGTACATTTTCATCGTTAGCCCAAAAGGCAGACAGAAAATACTTATAAGTCTGAGAAGGCGATAAAATGTAAGACATATCAGAACTTTTCAAACCCATGAATATAGAAAATAATGAAGAAAGTAAAAGAGAAAATTGTTACAAAGCAGCTAGGAGGTGGCAATGATGATGAATCATTTCCTGAAAACTCCTTCAGTTCTCTTCTTCCATCGGTTCTGATGTTTGGTGTGTCTGCCAAGACGTAATCTACTTCGCAGTTTCGTAACAAAATTTGCTCTGCGTATATCTCTGACATACACTATACAACTCAGAAACAAGACTAGTTGGTCTATGAATAATGCAATCAGATAGATACTCAATTAATGTTTGCCGTATAAAGTCTTTACATGATCATAAGATTGAAGATTATTTGAGCATCTTTTATTACTTGGGTCTACGTTGAAGAATTTGCCTCCACAACTTCTTTCAAGTGACTGCAATAATAAGTAGTGAAAAAATATATTGTAACCAAATTAATGTCTAAACAATCATATGATATGATTGATGAAGATAAAGATTACCTCAAAGAGCTCATCTGAAATAAGTCCCATCCCATGAGCAAATGAAATTCTATAGTTAGATTCCATGTTTTTATCTGTTACAGGGTTTCCAAGAACATAACCCTGCTCAATTATTTAGGAACGTGTTAATACAAAACGTTTTCTTTTCTCAACCGGATTATCGGTATTCATATTATTGCGGGAATGAATAGACTCTTTTAACACCTGAAGATTTATGAGTGGTGTGAGGCCTTTCTCATTTCCTGTTTTCATATTGTAGAATGTAATTAAAAGCTTTGAACTAAAAGATACCAAAACTGTGGAAAGTGGTGAATAAAAAGGCTACCAAGTGAAGTTTGTTGCACAACTCCTGGAACAATTTTCCCGGAATATGAATCTCCACCAACATAAAAAGGATTCGATATAAACTCCGGGTGATCCACAAACCACTGCAAGTAATCAGAATCAAAACACTTGATAAACATACATGCAAGAAAATTCATCAAAAACTGCAACAAAGCAAAAACAACACTTAACACTTCTAAGAAATTGATCAATTTGGTGCATTTGTTTGATGTCGCTCGTCTCAAAAGCACGCCGAGTTCTAGCATAAGAATATCCAGAGCCAGCAGGAGATTCCACATATAAAATGTTAGCCACCTGAAAAACAATTTGAGTATATACAAATTCAATATGTTGTTATTACAGAGACACAAATAGAATCACAAAAATTTGTGCAATCTCTCTCAAACCTTTGTCCATGAAAAAGATGTTAGCTCTAAAGGAGGAACTGTTCCATTATACTCATCCCCTTTAAAAGCTAAAGGACCTAAGACAAACAATCAAATTATTACTTGAAAACTTGTCTTAGTCCTCCGAATGTGTGACCAATCAAGAAACATGACATAGTATTAAACTATTTTATTAAGACTCATTCATTAGTCATTAAACTATTTGTTACCGTTAGCGAAGAGCAATCCACAGATGGAGCTACAGCCAGGTCCACCAGTGAGCCAAATCATGAGAGGATCATTTTCTGGATTTCTCTCTGATTTCACAAAGTAGTAAAAGAGTTCAACATCTCCAGATTCGCCAATACTCACATATCTTAGTAATAAACCCACATGCAAAAGAAGAAAACGACATGTTAGAACTTAAGGATTCTTAATATGTGTTTTGCTACTGATTTTGGCAAATTAGAGAGAAAGAGATGGACTTTTTGTTTGTTTACCCAGTCTCGAGCTCAAAAGGAAGAGGACCTTCAAAACCAGGAAGATACTTCACACGCAAAGAAGCATCAACAAAATGATGAATAGAGAAGATGCTTAATAGAAATAAGACGATGAAGCTAAGGTTTCTCATTTTCTCTGTTTCTTAGTGTCACTTGAACAGAGAATAGTATGTCAACGAAGAACCTTAAATTCACATTGAAAGAAAGAAGAAAGCAAAGTAATTACGAGGATAAAACCAAAAAACAAAAAACAAATGAAGTAAGTAAAGACAATATAGCAAACGCAGTGATCAGAACGTGGCTATCGTTTAACTAATAAGCGTGTTGCGAGCTTTTACAGCGTTTTAGTGACCGGATCAGACCAACCGGTTCAATGGAGGAACTTTATGGCTCCATCACCAAACCAAGTATCAGATTACACACCAGCGAAAGTCAACGTAATTCAGTTGATCTGTCAACTTAATAAATCCATTACCTTAAACTTAGATACTGTCGCTAATTTAATTTTAGTTAGCTTCATGCTTTTTGACTTTTCACTGTTGCATAAACGAAAACGACAAATAGTTTGTGATTGATTCTACCTGCTGTCGAAAAGTTTTTTTTTATACGTTTACCAGAATTCATAAAGATATATAATTCATAAACGATTAATTGTTTTCTTATAAATCCAAATCGACATATAATTCTATTTAGTTGTAAAATCTAAACTTTAATTTATATTTATAAACCCAAACCAACATATAACTAAATAACTAATCTTGTTTAATTAAAAACATATATATTTTGTTTTCTTAATATTTTTGTTTTAATTTATTTTCAATTAGTATTTTGATTGGTTATTTATGAAAGGGTGAATAAGAGAGGTTATTTAAAAATTTCAATATAAATTGTATAGCTTACACAAACTGAAAATATTAAATATGAAAGGAATATTAAAAATTTTGAAATAGAAAATTGAAAAAATAAAGATAAAAAATTGTTTATTCACTTCTACATTTAAAAAAAAAAAAAAATGCGAAGATGCTGTAATTGATAAGATTCCTTTTGGAAAATAATGGGTAAATTTCGTTAAGATATTATCCATTAATATGGATTTTAATAGTAGTAGAATTTGGAATAAAAGCATTTTTTTTTCTTAGCTAGATATAATTGAAAAAGTGGTTCCATGTTTCCAGAATCCAACCAATCTTAACAATTTTGATACTCAGTGATTCGCGTAAGAGCTTCTTTGAAAACGTCATGCCAATCATCATCTCTATATATAATAATATAATCTCCCCCAAATTTGCTTCCTCTTTCAATGGCTTTTGGTTCGTTTCTGACGCCGATATCAGAAATTCTCAGTCGCCTTTCCGGTACTAGTGCTCATCTCTCCCTTTCTTCTATCTTAATTTCAATTGATTTCTTATTTAGTTCTGTTTCGATTGATCAACACATAAATTTTGGGCTTAAAGAGTCTCACTTTTCCAATTTTAGTGCAAAATTAAGATTTGTTGCATCATCGCTTTTGTTTTCTATTTCTGGGTTTAGTAGTTCTGTGAATTTTGTGGTTTTATTAGGGCAAATTAATGAATCGAGAATCGCAGGATCTTCTCGAGCAAAGTTGTTTCTTAAAAATGCAAAATTTATATGTTTGATCAAAATTTATCTATCTGGTTACTCTTGTTGCAGTTGTTGTTGATTAATCAGAAGAAAAATGGATATGACTGGTACTGTGAGAGATGCATTTGATCGAGTTTCTAAGAAACAGAAGCTGTATCACTCAGTTACTCAAGATGTTATCGATCTTGTTTGTGATGGAATCCAAGATACATTGACTCAAATCCAATCAGATAATAACGATGGAGTCGAACCCGAATCGGTTCTAACCGAGTTGAGGCGCAAGCTTGATGCTCTTTTACCGATTATCCAGCTTCAGAAATCACAGAAGGAAACTAAATGGAGTCTTAGCAAGTTGGTGAAATTGTTTGAGGTTTCTTACCATCCTGATATATCTCTAGCCTGCTTCAGCGTTGATTTCGATATCAACTTAGTGAATAAGATACTTATCCACCATTGTTACCGAGAAGGGTTGTTCGACGTTGGTGATTGTCTGGTTAAGGAGTCTGGAAGAGAGGAAGAAACCGAGGTTAGATCTCAGTTCTTAGAGTTCCACCAGATATTGGACTCATTGAAGCTCAGAAACATCGAGCCTGCTATGAGATGGATCTTTGCGAACCGCGGAAAACTGAAGCAAAAGGGTTCAAAGCTGGAGTTTAAACTCATAAGTTTGAAGTACTGTGATATTTTAAGAGAAGGAAACCGTGTTGATGCTTTGGAGTATGCAAAAACCCATTTTCACCAATATCCACTACACTTTAAAGAGATACAAAAGCTTATCACTTGTCTGCTATGGATTGAAAATTTAGAGAAAAGTCCTTATGCAGAGATGGTTTCTCCATCATGTTGGGACAAGGTGACCAAAGAGGTAATCATGGAATATCACCATCTTCTTGATCAGCCAATTAACTCCCCGTTAAAAGTCGCTTTATCCGCGGGTTATGAGAGCTTACCGTCACTTTTAAAGCTGGTTCATTTAATGACTTTGACGAAACAAGAATGGCAAGCTATGAAACATCTTCCGGTTCCTCTAGAGTTAGGGAACGAGTTTCAGTTTCACTCGGCTTTTGTGTGTCCTGTGAGTAGAGACCAGAGCAGCGAAGAAAACCCGCCAATGCTGTTGGCTTGTGGTCATGTAATTAGCAAGCAGTCAATGATGAGACTCAGCAAGAACTGCGCTCACCGCATATTCAAATGCCCTTATTGTCCTGCAGAGACTTCAGCTTCAGCATGCAGGCAATTATACTTTTGAAAGGTTTGGTAATTTAGTTAATTTGATTGTTTCAGCTCAATAAGTGAACAAAGCGTTTCATTTGTTCTTTCATCATTAAAAAACTCTTTTTTACTAGATCTTGATTTGATCTTCTTCTCTAAGTTAGAACAAATAACTAATATGTTGCAATTAGTTGTTATACTATTACTTTTTATTTCTCTTGAAACAGAGAAGATAACAAGTGAATTTCAGTGATTTTAAAATGGTTAGTAAATTGGAGAAGGAAAGTTGAAGCAAAGATCACGTGAATTCTCCTATATTTGGTATCTTTCAGGGAAAAAATATGGATTTATTCAGACATTATAGTACATGATTTAAATGGTAATTAATAGTCAATTAGTTAAAACCATGGCCTTCTCTCACATTGTATCAATAATGCTAATTAAAACACGCTATTAAAACACTAAGTGGACCCCACCAAACTGCCGCAAAAGTCCATGAAAATAATCAAAACCATGACTTTTAGCTAACCTCACACCCCCGTCAGCTCAATCTTATCACTTACAACCAATACTTTACTTCCACGTGTAATAAACCAAAGAGTTCACGCCAAAACCACAAAACACTATCATGTCACGTTAGCATTCCCTCAAAAAGCACCACCGTGATAAAACAACTAATCCTCCTAGTCCTCTCCATTTCTCTACTCAACAACCAAACCAAACTCAAAGATTTTATCTTCATGGATTGAGCAAAGAAGAGGAAGATAATTTCCAAAATATCGCCAAAAAATGGACAAATTCTCGTATAACTCGTATCCAGATTCAGCTGAATCTTCGCCAAGATCTCGCGATGTCGAGTTTGAAAATCCGCCGCCATGGGAGGACCACCAGCAGCAGAGCTACAAAGTGAAGCTCATGTGCAGCTATGGCGGCAAGATCCAGCCGCGTCCACACGATAACCAGCTTACCTATGTAAACGGCGATACCAAAATCATGTCGGTCGACCGCGCCATCAGATTTCCTGCTCTTGTATCGAAGCTCTCCGCCGTCTGCAGCCGCGGTGATGGAGGAGAAATCTCGTTCAAGTATCAGCTTCCAGGTGAAGATCTCGATGCGTTGATTTCGGTGACTAACGATGACGATCTGGAGCACATGATGCATGAGTACGATCGGTTGCTTCGTATGTCTACTAAACCAGCTAGGATGCGATTGTTTCTCTTCCCGTCTTCACCGATTTCCAGCGGATTTGGCTCTGAAGGTTCGACTAAATCGGATCGGGATACGTTTCATCCGATCCCTAGTCGACCTGAATCGGAGAAATCTGTAACCGCTCCTCCGAATAATGCTGATTTTTTGTTTGGATCGGAGAAAGTAGCTCCAATTCCGCCGTCGCCAGTGAAGGTGCCTCAACCGTTACCGGAGCCAGTGGTGATTGAACCGCCGCCGATGTTCGTAGATCAACGGATGTTACAACCGGAACACGGCGTAAATCCGGCGGAGATTCAAAGACAAATCCAGGAATTTCAGATGATTCAAATCAGAGATCAAGAGCAACAACAACAACAACAACAGATGCTTCATCAGAATCAGCTCCAACAACAACATCAACAACAAGAAGCTATAAATCAGAATCAGCTTCATCAACAACAAGAGGCTATACATCAGAATCAGCTTCATCAACAACACCAACACCAAGAGGCTATACATCAGAATCAGCTGCTTCAACAGCAACAACAACAAGAGGCTATGTACAGAAGAAAAAGCGAAGACGAAGCCGGACGATACTTCCCTCCAACATACACTCAAAATCCGGCGCCGGCGACGAATCCACAACCTCCGATTGGCTACTGGCAAGGAAACAACAACAACAATAACATTCCGGGGAATATATACACAACAACGTCACAGAATCTACCAGAGCAACAACAAGTATACATGATTCCAGCTCAATCTCAAGCTCCAGGGACAGTATACCAAAGCGTCATGAGACCAGCTGTACAAGGTAACCAAGGCTATTACCCACCTGTTCAGCGACTTCATCATCCTGATGCATACATGGAGCAGCAGAATCAGCCAGCTTACAACGTGGTTCAACAACAGCCACAGTATTCAGGTGGTCCACAAGTTATGACTAGTGTTGGTCCTCCAATGGGGTTACAGGAACCGTATTCACAGATGGGAAATCCTGTGTACTATACGGTGGCTGGAGACGGCATGATGGTTCAACCGCCACCGCCTCAGCCTCAGCCTCAGCCTCAGCCTCAGCAGCAGTACCAGGGAATGGGTCAACCGACAGATCTCAGAACCGGACCGGATGGGAAAGTGGTGGTTAACATGGCTGCACCAAAAGTTCCACAAAGTTCAGATGCGGTGTGAGTGAGATTGAGGTTAATGTTATGATAAAGATTATGATTATCCATTTAGAAAAACTTTATGATATATGTGTAAAAGTGTTTTTTTAGATCAAATTGGAATCTGGATTTCTGATGAATCAATTGAAGCACTTTTGATGTTTTTATTTTATTCTGTTAACTTTCTTTGAGACTTCTTTTTAAGTAAGGCTTTCGGACCTTTTCGTCTCCTGCCTCTTGTGCATCCATTTAGTGGTGAATAAAGATTATTATCCAATTTACATATTCACTAATAGTTATCTTTATATATCTTTAATTCACTCACACTGAAACAAGATTTTGAGAATTAGTTAAGACTAATTTTGTATCAAGTTCATTGCAGAGTAAAAAGTGGTCCACAATCTGAATAGTATGGACACGTGTTGTGGAGAAAAAAGGTGTTAGGTGAGAAAGCATTGGATGTTAAAAGAGAGACTTGCTCTCACACTAAGGCCATATTTAAAGGTAGAACACTTAGGTGTTCTTAGCCTTTTAAAAATAGAAAATATTGTGAATAGTGTTAGATCTGTTGTAGATCTGTTCTTGTTGTAGAACTGTTCTTGGCCCAGTTTTAGCGTGACGTGGCGCTTCATCATTGGCTACGAATTTTTGCAAAGGAAAAAAACATTTCATTTTTCTTTCGATCCGAAATCTATGCTAAGGTTTAATTAAATAATATGTTTGTTTGTTTATTTTTTTTATTTATATCTTTAATGTTCTTTTTTGTTTCATAAAAATTTGATATTATATTTTGTGTTTCTTTTTATTTTCAAATCTATTTTAGTAAAAGTTTTTTAAGTTTGCAATTGAAAAGTTATTTCTTAAAGTTTTTAAAATTGTAAACTAATGATCTTACATTATTTCAATTTCAAATCAATTCCTATGATCTAAACATGGTCTACCAATAATCACTTACTTTACAAAAGATCTTAATTAAATCTCTTACAATATTTGAATATTTTTTCTCCCTTAAAGATCAAACTTCAAAGATGCACCCTTGCATATGCCCTAAGAGCATGTTTATAGGTGATACTTATAAAGTATCATAAAGAATTTTTTAATATTATTTATAATATTTATTTATTATTTGAGATTTTTTATGATACTCGTACTAAATATGTTTCCATTGGTGAGACCGGTTTAAGTATCATAAAAAAAAATATTTGCAGAATCAAAAATAAATATATAAAAATATAGGATTATAAAATATAATATTACAATTAAAAAAACGTAGAATATACGTAAGCAAAAAAAAAACATAAAATTCAAAAAAAAACTTAAAAAACCATGATGATAAAAATAATTTAGTTGCTTGGAGTCAATTCCCTTGGCCCCATTTTTGCCAAATATGTTCAATCAATTAAAAGAGAATTGTGTTTTGAGAAGGAAAATAATTAAAAGAGAATTGTGTTTTGAGAAGGAAAACAATTAAAAGAGAATTGGGTTTGAGAAGGAAAACAATTAAAAGAGATTTGGGTTTGGTAATGGTAATTGACGAGGTTTTGGTAATGGTAATATGAGAAGAGTGACAAAGACTTGTTTTGAGAGGATTTGTATTGAGAAATATGAGAAGACAAAAACTTGTTTTAAGAGGATTTGTATTGAGAAATATGAGAAGACAAAGACTTATATATATAATAGAAATCCACATCCGAATAATACATTGTGACCATACAAAATAACAAAGGTACTACATTCACCAAAAAAAAAAATAACAAAGGTACATCCGAATAATACATTGTGACCATACAACCTGAATAAATAAAATAACAATGCATTTGGATTCCAACTTCAGCATTGATGCTTTAGTAATTATATTGCAAAAAGAAAACAAAAATGACCAAGTAAGTAGACTCACCACCAAAAGGACAGTTCTAAGAAGCGTTCTATATTCATGCTCTCACCATCAAGCTTACTAACCAATAACTGCAGAATCTTTATAGCAACCTCCATGGCATGTGAACCTGAATAACATGACTCACATTATCTCTCAGAGAGAAACTATCCTCAAATCCATCTACCTCAATATGCCATGTTTTATTTGACACCAGAATATAATCAATCCCCAATCAGAAACTTACTGTTAATCCAAAATAGCATTCACAGGCCGTGGCTACAAACACCAACAATCACTATATGGCTACAAACAACAAAAGAACATGAGAATAAGGATTTTAAACTTCAAATTCAACACAATCACTATATTAGATGCTAATGAAACCCAACAATCCTCTTCACTAATAACATCATATCTATGTCAACTCTAAGAAAACTACAAATACTTAAAAAACGGAAATGAAGGTTACCATAGAGATCATTACCTTTCTCAGGATGATCAAACTCAGACTGTGGCAGCACCATGGGCTGTAACTTGACTCTCCCACCACGTTTGTTCTGTAAAAGTCAAGGAAACCAAAAATGAAACGATGTTACAAATTTAGCTCAGATGATAAAGCTTATGAGTGATAACAAAATGAAATCATTGATTAAAGACCTGATACTCCATCAACAGCTTAGCGTGCTCGCGTTCTTCCACACTCTGCTTCTTGAAAAATCTGATTAGCAAAAACACCAAACAACTCAATAAATAAAACACTGCAACAAACGAAAAATCCAGATTCATGAGATACTTAAAAAGCCAATCTCATCCATATAGTTGAAGCAAAAATTGACTCAATCCACATATTTACAACACCTAATGTTCAAATCCATGAAAAGAATCACCTAATTTTCGAGAGAGAGAGTTGAGAAAGAGGCGGAAAACTCTAGACAGCGGAGGAGAGATGTTCACGAATCTACACAGAAGAAATGGAGAAGTGAAATAGATCGAAGAGATGAAGCCGGAGGAGAAGCGGAGGGAGCGAAGGCAGGATCGGCAAGGAAGAATCGGCGGAGGAGAGGAGAAATCGAAATCGCCGTCTAGGGTTTTCTGGTTTTCACGGGAGAGTGGAGAGGAGAGACAAAAATGATTTTTTTTTTTTTTTTTTGTCTTTCGGCAAAACGAGATTGAAGACCAATCAGCACATGCCACATCATATGATATTGGGTATCAGAAGTATCATTGGACTGATACGTATCAGACCCAAAAATATTATTTGATCCATTTAAAAATATTTTTTGTGCTTCTGATACTCATAATGTATCACCCATGGACATGGTCTAACAAACTAATTAACGTGGATGAAAAAAAAAAAAAACAAACTAATCAACGTGACACATTCTTGTCTTATACGCAATTCAATTTACTAAGCGACAATCATCATCATTTTGATCATCTCAAGTCTTTGTCCTTATTATTTTGTTGCCAAATTAATTACATGTCTCAATCCAAAAACAGGTGTCCACGTAAAAGCTATCTTGTCTTTGTCATTAGGAGGATCCAAATTGATATCATTCTTCCCCTTGTTCCCAAATTTGTCTTATCAATTTTTTTTTCTCGTCTTTACATCATCAATGTAATGTCAATCAGATTGGTTCCAATTCGGATTTTTTTCTACTAGAGTCGGTATAAAAAAATTCTTTAACTAGAATAAGCACACTTTTAAAGTGTTACCATATATAGTGTTTATAAACACTACAGAAAACCCTAGAAAAAAAAAACAAAAACACCAAAACCACTTAGTTCATATATCCAGATTTATCTGGTAACTGATTAATCCAACCCACAATTTCTTCTTGAATCAGTCTCAGTGTGTTCCTCCCATGCCCAATCTCCATCCTCCAAAAGTGAGGCCTTAGCTTCTCCACAAACTCTCTCAACATTGGTCTCATCTCTTTCTCCTTCATCACTCTCAACGCACACTGTACCACAAAGTTGCCAAACTTATCAGTTGTCATTCTTACCCATTCTTTATCATTTCCTCTAAACTCCTCCAACACTTTCCCTCTAGCAAAATCCGATTTCAAACACTTCTCCACCACATAGCTTCCTTGTCTCTCCATCGCTAAACTGAAGAAATTTCCACGAAGTCTCTCGGCGATTGCGGTTGTTGCAACGGGGTTCTGAAGTGTCAGAAAGTTCTGTACAACGTGTGTTCCGTAGGGGTCAAAAGCTAACCATTCGGCGTTCTTGGCGACGCACTCGAAGATTAGGTCTCTGTATTTGCCTCTGATCTCTTGAAACACATTGTTTAGGGCAAGCATCCAGTTTCTAGCCTGGCAAGTTGCAGAGTGTATTCGTACGTGAGCTTGTAGAGAACCTCCTTCTTGGTTTTATCGACGGCTCGTATAGCGGATATGATCAAGCCTCGAGCGTACTTATCGGTCATGAGCAAGAAGAAGTTTATGCCAACAGCGTGGAATAAGAGATGGTCTAAGCTAGGGCTGCGTCTAAAGAGGATATGTAAAGATTGTGAGCCGTATTGGTTCGTAGCCAAGTGGAGGAAAGTGCGCTTGTTTGTGGTTAACAATGATCCGATCTTGAACAGATGGCTCTCCCTCTCAGCCGTTGGATTGGTATCGAGATCTTGGAGGAACTTTTGGAACTCAGCGAAACGTCCTGCACAAGTCATCATGTCCAACAGTCTTGATAGCAAGTTATGATCCTTTTCGACGCCGGGGCTCACAAAACTTGGAGGAGGAGGGAAGGGTTGGCCGGAGTATCTGGAGGAAGAAGCACCAGGTTGAGATTGGGTCATCCAAGCCGGATGAGCGTTGAAGCTAGCGGTGGAGATATGACTAACGTTATAAACGTTGAGATTGGGGTAGTTGTTGTTGGTGTTGATGTTACTGTTGCCATTAAGATTTGCGAACGCGGTGAGAAGATGATTGTAGTCCCTATCGTTGGGCATAGGGTTTTCGCCATTATCATCTGCCATAACTTGGATTGCAAGACAACAAAGAATGCGATCTGCTAAAGAAGAACCAGAGAGATCTCGAGCGTAAAAAAGAAAAGAAGAGATTGTGAATTGTGATTGCCAAAGTGTTTGCGAGAGGTTGTTTTATAGAGAAGAGGAGATTGTGTGTTCGGTGTTGGAATAGGAATCGCTGGAGTTGCAGAGATAAGAGCTCCGATCTTTGGAACGGTGTTCCTTTTCCTGTCAGGATTTGAAAGACCAAATTCGTGTAGAGTTGTTGATTTTTTCAATCAGAAAAAAAACGTCGCAAAATTATCCATTATATGTTCTTTTATATTGTTGATTAAAGTTATTGATATCTTTTTGCATAATTAATAAACTTTTAGAAAGAAAATCAGATTAAAGTTATTGATATTTCTTGCATTAAATATTTTAACATCATCACTACAAATAAAACGAAATATTTTAACTTATTCATTCATCTTTTGAAATTAAGAGCGTGAGTACTGAGTAGTAGATTAAAGTTGACAAATTTCATGAAGAAAAAAAAGTTGTAGCAAAAGAGTAACGTAGCAACAGAACATTGGTAACCATTTATTACATCATTCAAAAAGGTCTGAGAACAAAGAAAAGCAACAAACATAGCCTCGAATCCAAAAAACAGGTGTTAAATCTTTAGCTTTTCAAGACAGAGTTTGACAAATGTTTCTTGCCTCCTTATTAATCATCTCAAGGAAACTCTTACTGGAGACTTTGGCGGCTTCATCGAAAGAGCTTCGGGAAAGGTTTTTAATGAGTCAAGAGTGAGTGAGTACTCTTGATAGTATGGTAAATTGCGGCTAATGCAGTAACCGAGGTGATGACTGGAAGTTGCTGTTGTGTATGGTAAAGGACTTGGTAGAAACTCGGGTAGGTGAGGCAAATCATACCCATTTTCAGGTAGAGAAGGTAGCCGGCGAAAGTGACTCCGGTCAAGTAAACCCCTGAGATTCTGTTGAAAATCGATAGCATGGAGTTCATCTGAGGCTGGTAAACAGTAAGGTGAGGAGATAAAGGGCGAAAGCTTTTGGTTTTTGGTTCCTCCTGTGTTGTCTTTATATCCCCTGAGATTGTTGAGAACAATCGTTTCGATGTTCCCACATCAAGAGTACGGAAAGATCGAGTCAATTGAGCTCCAACAGTTGCAGTCTCATTAGCTTTTGAGTGCTGGAAAAATCGAGACAAGGATCACCAGGCAAAAAAAAGTATAAGTTAAGCAGCTCTTAAACATTAGAAAAGCAAAAATCTAACAAAATGTGGACGACGTCATTTTACCTCTCTCTCCTCTCTAATGGCATTATTAGTGCCCAAACCAGTACCAAGAATGTCATTCACAACAGGTTTTGACCTATAAAAGAAAACAACACATAGTCGAAAAGACATCTACAGAGTAATTCTAATAGGTATTTGCATCACAAGAAAACAAACGAAACCTACCCGAAAGCTCTACACAAACTTGCATAGTTTTGACCAGTGTATGAACTACCCCATGAAGGTTGAGCATTACCAGCAAGCTGCAAAACAAGAACGTTTCAAGAGCAGTCAAAACAAACACTTTCTCTACGCATATGCGATAAACAAAAAGGCCATAATTTCTAATGAGTGTTAGGCACCCAAACTACAACAGTTACATGAAGCTAAACTCTCTTCTTCTTCTTCTTCTTCATCCCAATTTTTATTGCACTATACTCAACTACAAGCTTTCTCAATCAATCAAAAGGGAAAAAATCCCAGGAATTGCTAACAGTCTTAAGATTAATCAGAGAAAAATTCATGTAAACAGATTTGTGTCTACTTACACAACATTCTCATATTCTTCTCAAATTTTGTGTAAATGAAACGATTACATACATAATACACAACAAAATGGATACATATATAATTCAATCCATGAAAAATTCCCGCAGAGCTCAGATGGGTAAATCATGAAGAGGAAAGACGAAACTAAACGAATCCAAAAAAATTCTCGATCTATCTATAATTCCACCAAAAATACGCAGTCAAGGAGCGAAAAACATACAGATTTGTAAACGGAAAGAGGCGCAGAGACGACGTCGCGTCGGCGAATCGATCGGAAAAGAGCTGTGGCAGCCATGGACTGAATCAGATGAGTACTTTGTGCTAATCTCTTCCTGCGAAAATTCGAGACAAGTAAACCAACAACAGAAATGGGAGATCTCGATTAAACCATCCCTAATTTAAAATAAATTAGAGGGTAATTTCGTAAATTACCAATTCCCCCAAAGTTATCGGCACCTACGTTTCACAATGAGTTTAGATCATTGGAACCTCTGGCTCGTTTAGCGGTTCTCAATACTTATACTTTTGAAGCACCACTTATTGTGTGATGGTAATGTGCCAAAATTGTTGACAAACAAAAAAAAAAAAATGTGCCAAAATTTTAACCTCGGGCTCGTTTGCCGGTTTCTCTCATTCGCAGTTCTTCTCTCTGATTTACCTTCTTTAGTATAATAATAAAGTTGACAAAATCTTGAAAACTTCTTCTCCTTAACCATCTCACATTACATAACAAAGGTTTTTAGCAGAGAAACATTAAGTTCAGTTCCCTGACAAAAGCTTATTCCAGAAACAGATCCATTGCTGGCTCTTCTAAAGGCAAAAGTTTCTTGGACATAGAACCCACCATGATCTAACCTAATCTCTTAAAACCCAAGTGGCAAGAATTTACGATATCTCTTCACTTTTTCACTTCCTCGTACTCTGCCTCTTGAGCTTGATCACTGCCTCCCTGAGACCCTCCTCCTCCTGGTGCAGAGCCTCCACCAGAACCACCTGACATGTGCTCTCCAATCTTAGAAACAGCTTTGTTTGCCGCATCGATCTTGGCCTTGATCTCATTGAGATCATCCCCAGAAGATGCGCTCCTTAGATCTGCCACAGCATCTTCAATCTCCTTGGCGATTTCACTTGGGATCTTCTCTCTGTATTCACCAAGACTCTTCTCTATGCTGTAAATTGTTGTATCGGCTGTGTTCTTGGTGTCGATCAATTCTTTTCTTTCTTTGTCTTTCTGAGCATGCAACTCCGCTTCTCTCACCATCTTCTGGATATCATCCTCTGAGAGCCCACCAGAGGATCGGATTGTGATCTGTTGTTCTTTACCAGTTGTCTTGTCCTTGGCAGAAACAGTGACAATGCCATTGGCATCAATGTCAAATGTCACTTCGATCTGAGGGATTCCTCTTGGAGATGGTGGAATGCCAACTAGATCAAATTCTCCCAAGAGTTTGTTGTCTGATGCCATTTCACGCTCACCTTGAAGCACCCTGATCCCAACTTGAGTCTGATTATCGGCTGCAGTTGAGAACACCTTCAAAAGAATGAAACGAGAGAATCAACATTTTAGTAAAAACTTGAGAAAAGACAATGGTAGCTTTGGATAGCTCATCAATTAGTATGTATCACAGGAATGTGCTTTCATGACCCCTTAAATTGAAAGAGTGGAATCATATAGGAATCAACGCCAAGAGGAGTAACTCAAGCATGCCTTGCTAAGACACTACCGATCAAACTATAATACATGCCTCATACTACCCTAGTTTTTCCTTACTCCAATGTAATCGTCAAGATTCCTTCCTAGTTACTTAGTGGTTTTCCATCAAAAGATCAAATCTTAACGGGCATACCTGACTCTTCTTTGTGGGGATGGTCGTGTTTCGGGTGATCAGTCTTGTGAAGACACCACCAAGTGTTTCAATACCGAGCGATAGAGGTGTGACATCCAGAAGCAACAATTCTTTGACATCACCGCGGAGGATACCACCTTGAAGTGCAGCTCCCATAGCAACAGCCTCATCAGGATTGACACCTTTGCTTGGACTCTTTCCAAAGATCTCCGCAACAACAGATTGAACCTTGGGGACACGAGTCATTCCTCCAACAAGAAGAACCTCATCAACTTCCTTAGCACTTATACCAGCATCCTTGAGACAGTTCTTGCAAGGATCACGGGTCCTCTCAATCAAGTGATTTACCAGAGTCTCAAACCTTGACCTTGTTAGGGTGATGTTGAAATGCTTTGCTCCAGATGCATCAGCTGTGATAAATGGGAGATTAATTTCTGTTTGAGAAGTAGATGATAGTTCGATCTTCGCTTTCTCAGCTGCTTCTCGAAGCCTCTGCAAAGCAAGTCTGTCTTTGGTGAGATCTATCCCCTCAGTGGTCTTGAACTCCTTTACCAAGAAGTCTAGCAGAGCATTATCGAAATCCTCTCCTCCCAAGAAGGTATCACCATTGGTGGCTTTGACCTGAAAAAGCAATTTAATGATAAGGACGATTATCATAGAAAAAGCAACAGAAGACCTGACAAACATAAGATCACTTGGGAGATAATTACCTCGAATACCCCATTAGAAATCTCCAAAACAGATACATCAAATGTCCCACCACCAAGATCAAACACAGCAATCAAACCCTCCTTATTGGTCATTCCATAGGAAAGAGCAGCAGCAGTCGGCTCATTTATGATTCTCTCGACATCAAGACCAGCAATTCTACCAGCATCCTTTGTTGCTTGCCTCTGAGCATCATTAAAGTAAGCTGGAACAGTGACAACAGCTTTGGTGACAGATTTTCCAAGGTAAGCTTCGGCTGTCTCTTTCATCTTAGTCAAAATAAACGCTCCAATCTGACTAGGAGAATACTGCTGACCATTGGCTTCAACCCAAGCATCGCCATTAGGTGCACGCACAATCTTGTAAGGCACCATCTTCATTTCTTTCTGTGTTTGTGGATCGTCGAACTTTCTCCCAATCAAACGTTTGGTTCCAGATACTGTGTTTGTAGGATTAGTGACAGCTTGTCGCTTGGCTGGTGTACCCACAAGAAGTTCTCCTTTCGAGTTGAACGCTACAACTGATGGAGTCGTTCGAGCACCTTCAGCATTTTCAATGACTTTCGGATTCTACAAATCAGATAAACACACATAAAGTTAACTCAAACATTAATATCTCAGCAAAAACTCAAAACCCATGTAAATCACCAACATACCTTCCCCTCCATGACCGCAACACAGGAATTAGTAGTACCCAAATCAATACCAATGACATCATTACCAGCAGGCTTCGAGCTAAATCAAGAAGAAGAACACTTGAGAAACAGAAACAGAAACATAGCAAGATCTTTGGTGGTGTTAGCAAATAAATGGAAAGATCAAATACCTAAATGCTCTGGAAAAGCTTCTCAAATTCTGACCGAGATACGAACTGTTCAATGATGTTTTCCCGCTGCTCGAAAGCTGCAACAAGATTAACCAGATCAGGTCAAGGAATCGGATTGCAAGAAATGAGTAAAATCGGATCACGTAAGTTAGCTCTGATTTCGTTTACAGATCTCGTAAAGATAGAAGAAGATCGAGAGAAGATATAAAGACTTACGCATCTGTAAGCTGAGAAAGGAGCGGAAACGACTTCACGGCGTCGAATAGAGCGGAGGAGAGCTGCGGTAGCCATGGTTTCGAAATTCAAAATGATGCGATGAAATTGCGTCTGTGCAAAAGTTAGGGTTTAGGGGTTTTGAAGGTACGAAAGTTGTTTTCTAGAGGTTGAGGGAAGGTTCTAGATGGTGATACTTCTCGACGTCGACGACGATATAGTGCTCTTTGAAACGACGACGTTTCGCAAGCTTGAAAATCGTCAAAGCAAGACCTAGCACAAGGACGTGATGTTGCCACGTGGACGATTGAGAATCGTTACGTTGAATTTGCACGTAAGTCAATTTTAGAGTATCGAGTACTTAAGAATAAAACTTAGGAATCACAGGGGTCGAATTGAAAATTTGAGTATAAAAAGTAGTTTGATCAAAAAGTAGATATTTACACTTTGTTGCGTTCTCAATTTTAGGTACGGTGTCAAAATGGGTTAATACCCATGGGTTACCCGAACCCGCCCATAGTTTTAGTGGGTTTGGGTAGAATTTTTTTACCTATATATATAAATGAGTTTTAGTGGATTACCCTATTAGAGTTATGGGTTTAATGGATAAAACCCATTAGGATCATGTGTTTCATAACCAAAACTAAAAAGTAAAATTTATATATATCTATATTAATATATTATGTAAAATTCATATAAATATATGTAAAATATCTATATATATGGTTTTAAGATTATTTTTTTTTTTTTATTTGGTTTTATGGTTCTTTGGATTTTTGGTTTTAAGATTTTAGGATGATTTTCTATTTAATATATAGATTTTTTTAATTTATTATTTAAAAACTTTTGTTGGTTTACAATTTTATGTTATTTTTTTGGATTTTTATTATTTATATATTTTATTATACATATATATGGATATCCATATAACCCATTAAGCCAATGGATTTCTACAATAATGGGTTTGGGTATGTAAATTCAACCCATATAAATATATGGGTCGGGTCAAACCCGTCCATTAAACACTCGAATCCATATGGGTTTGGGTCGGGTCGGGTCGGGTTACCCATTTTGACATCCCTAATTTTAGGCCGTCCGATTTCACCGCCTTACACCTAGCGGCGGTGCACAAACTAAACCGAAATCGGAACCGAAATGTAACCCGGTTAAACTATCCCCCTTCCCGCCAATCAAACGGTTTAACTATCCAACTTTCATCTTCAATCTTCAATACTTTATCAATCAGCCCTTTGTGATCACCAAACTTGTCACTAGATATTGACTTCCAAAGTCCAATGTCTTTCACAATGCCAAAATTCCATAGATATGAGCTCGTGGAGGAGTATTTTCATGGTCAAAGCGTCGAAATCCATTGATTATATTCATCCATTCTTATGATAAACGAGCTTGAACTAGATGTTCCACCTCCTCCATAAGCCTTTTACAAATTATAAGAACATGGAACATATATAAGTCTAATTGATCACTAAAAAACCAGAACACAAAATGTTGCAGTCAGATTTAGAAACATAACAAACCTTAGCAACTTCGGATGTATCGGTTATAGCATCGGTACTTCTCAAGCACATTTTGAGATTATTCCTTTGCATAAATGTAATAGCTCCTATTGGCCTGATATCAAAGAGGGTTAACTAACTTACTATCCACAATTCTTTCATAACAGCAGAAGCGTCATAAAGAAATTAAATTTACCTGAGACCAGCTGCAGAACTTTGTAGACTAAGAAGCTTGCCAAGTTCATCGCTTAGTTGATGGTTACCATCTGCGCGCATTCCCTATGCTTAGAACAAATTCTCAATCAGTGATTTTTGAAACAGAGAGGATTTTGATGCAACAAAAAAAAAACAATTACCAGGCACTCTCCATATAACCCTCTTCCCAATCTGATCTTGAAAGCTTTATTCAGCTTTAGCAGTTTCTTTGCATCAAGAAGACGAGATGAAAAATACGAATTCCCATAAGCAATGAGATCCGCCGAACTTATTTTCAACAACTGCAACATAGAGACATGAAATAATTTACTGAGGAAAGGTTTAAGGACATATGCTCATATTCAACAAGAGTTTACTGAATGCACAAAAGGAAACAATCTGAATAGACAAAGTATCCCAAAAAATTGAAATGAAGCATCGCACCTGTTCGTACATGTAAGGATTGGTGATACAATTGATCCTTGAGCGCCAATCCTTAAGACCAAAGCTGAAAGCTTTGATATCTGGTAACATCCATCGTCGAAGATCGATATCCTCAATGTAATCAAGAACCGATTCAACCCGACTTTTGTCTTCTACACTTAGCAAACTGAGAGCTTCTACCTAGGCAATAGATAAAAACATAAGATCTTTACTATATAACTAATCAAAGCAGAGTCACTACACATCATCATGGTCCTTACTAACCTCAGAAGATGTTTTATCTGTGAGTTTACTGGAGAAATATTTATACACAGCCTTTGAGCTACTCGTTTCAGTATCAACAATAATCTTAAGCCTCTTCTTGTGCTCTTCCTTTATTGAGCCAATCCTTATCAATGCCGAGTTCCGGTGATCAAAGCATATGATCCTAAACCCAAAAGAACAAAGTTAAACCCCAAAGGACTTAAACTTTTTGAACCAAAATAGTTGTAATATAACATCACTGAACATACTCGCAAGCTGTTTTCTGGCAAGCAAAATCTTTGGGAACAACAAAATCAAGTAGATAACATCTCTCGAACCCCTCCAAACACAAATCTTCAATCCTACAAGATATTTTCAAATTTCCAGTAACATCGAACGATTAAGCTCAAAACCTATTCAAATCGAGAGAGATGTGTACCTGAAGGGTATGACGGAAGAAAAGGGTAAGATAAGACAAGGAAGACGGAGGCGAGAGTGGTAGAGATGAGCGAAGAGAGCTGAGAAAGCGCCGGAGAAGGAGGGATAATTGTATAGCACTAGGTTTGGTACTTTCTCTTCTAACGCATTGGTTATGGCTTCGAGCGCCGCATCAGATCGTAAACTCCGTTTAGCTTCGAATTGAAGTTTACAAGAGTCGGAAATCGCCGGCAGAATTCTCCCGGAGAATCGCCGGAAAATCATCGATTGCTAGGATTTGGGTAAAGGTTTTATTATGTTCACGACTGAGATTTCGAAGCAGAGAAAATTAGCTTTTAATTGCACTGAACAGCTCAAAGTTTATATATATTCTTAATTTATCCCTTTAGTTTGTTATTTTCTTAATTTATCCCTTTAGCTCAATGTGTTCATGTAGAGCTGGCACTTCTTGATGTCCGGGGCCGGCCCAAACTATTTGAGTGCTTAAAGCAAAAAAAAATTTGGCCCATTAACAAAAGCTGTTATAAAAAAAAAATACAAGTTTTAACATGTATGGGATTCGAAACCGTGACCTGTACAACAAAAAAATTCAATCTAACCACTAGACCACAGTAACATTTTAAAAATTAATACCCCTAAAACTACTTATAATTATTTGATGTCTAAAGCCCTTGCTTCATGGGCTTTACCCATGGGCCGGCCCTGTTGATGTCTGTATCAAAATCGTTGAGGCACTACACACAAACAAGAAAAGCTTCGAAGGTTCATTTTGAATAAGCAAAAGTCAGGAAACATGTCATTTTGTATTAACAGAGAGATTAGACTGAAAAGCATTTTCAATGTTCAACAAAGATAAATTCGAAATAAATGTGCAATGAATTGCTAAAAAAAATATAAAATATAGGGAAGTTAAAGGGATAACTTACATCTTGGAGAGCTTTGGATTGAGTGTCACATGGACTAACAAGACCTGCCACAGGCTCAGAGACCACAGAGGGTGGTGGGCACAATAGAGCTGCGGATCAAATCAACTCATTATCTAAATGTAAAATGTTTAAAATCATCAAAACATAAAATAGTTAAAGAGCATACTTCGAACCGTGTCCCCAAATAAACTTTCACCATGGCTAGTACCCCCATCCCCATCATTGCTACTATCTTGATCATCGCTACGCATACCTCGAAATATTCCTCCAAACAGATTATAATCATCATCGCTACTAGTCCTATATGTAGGCGGAGTAGATCTTTCTGAACAACCAAGAAAACAAATTATAAATTGTCACATCAAAAAATGTAAAATACAAACATGGTATCGACATAATAAGAATTCACTAAAAACAAGAAAAGTATCCAAAATATATAACAAAAAAGATAAGTTTCAAGTATTTTAACGACAATCTTTTAAAAAGTGACATTTCTTTTAAAACACAAATTTTCAGATGTTACTACTGAAGTTTACCAGTACGAGGCGATGAGCTGCGTGTAGGTGCAGGTGAAGGTGCAGGGGATGATGATACATATGTAGCTGCAGGTGAAGCTCGAGGTTGAGGTGAAGAGCGAGGAGTAGAAGAGCGAGAAGAAGATCTGCCTGAACAACCAAGAAAGAAAAAAAGAGACATCATTGGATTCATTACATAACAATAAAAACTCTAAAGCCAAACTGATCTTCAGAAACTACACTTATTATTTGATGATTATCGTTCAAAACAATATGTATTTTGCTCACACACAGATCATCCGTTTGTATTAAGATTAAGGTTTGAAAATTTATAAAGACATTGATATTTTGATCAAATAAATTAAATACATAAATCTTGATCATTGCTAGATTTAACAATAGACAAGAAATGGTTTTAGTTGAGGTTTTAAAAATAACCAAATATTAAATTTTTCAATTTATCCCAAACAAGTATATATCCATGAGAAATGTCGTAGAAAATGAAATTTACCGGAAGTTTCACGAGACGGGCTGCGTGCAGCTGCTGGCCGAGGGCTAGAGGAAGATCTTCTTTCTACACAACCAGGTGGAAAGAAAATAACACCATTACATAATTAACAAGAAACCTATAATAGCAAAATAGATCATTTTCAACCAATAATCCTTTATTAACTTTTTACTCCAAAACTTCATTTGACCACCACTATTTAGTTCGTTATTATATTTTGTACCAAACATTGATTCTAAAGGCCTGAAGAGAGAGCTATATATAATTTCCAAATAAGTTATTTACCAGTCCGAGGAGACGAGCTACGGGATGAAGATGATGATCTTTCTGCACAAAACCGAGTACAAAAAAAAATCCCTTATAACTTCGTTGACACAAATATTAAAACCAAAATAATTGCTCAATTAAGACACAACATAACTTTCTCCAATCGATAAAGACTCCCCAAGATTTTAACACAAATTAAAAAGCATAGGTGAGAATCATCGCAAACCCTAGTTTTTATGAACTATCTGAAATTGAAAATGAAGCAAAAAAACAAATCTCGCCTTCTTCATGTCTGCGTCTAGGCATTATGAATTTTTAGATGGCGAAGAGTGAAGAATTTATCCTGCGAAAACCAAATGTTTTTCTACGGCCTAAAAATCTAGCTAAGCAGATCTTTATATAAATATATCACTTGAAAATGCACACAGTAATACGTGTGATATTTCGAATTAATAAAAGATTATGTTTCCTTCCCCAACACACACAACACTTGCGCCTCAAGCCAAACGAGAAAACATAGGCATTGGTCTCGTATGGGAATTAACTTTCACTATTGGGCAAGCAACTTGTGCAACGTATGTCAATTGCATATAACATCTCGATTAATCATCGAAATGGATATATTATTATTCCCAATCTTTTTTTAATGGGTTTATGATGATTCTGTAGCCATATATATACGTTAACGTAATATTTGAAAGGATTTCTTTATACCTTTTCAAGAAAAAAACAATCAATTTTATAATTAAAAAATGGTTTAATTAACTAAATACATAACTTTGATTATCATTTTCCTTTTTCCTCTCGCATGATCCAAAAACACTTGACATGGCCTTCGAATTTTGATTTTGGAAGCAGAGCCAACACAAAAACTACGTGTCACATCTCATCACCATATCGTGCCACCAAAACCATTATTTGTCACCGGTTTTGTTTTTTCAAGTAAACTCATCAAAGATTAGATTTGATGGTAAATTTGAAGATAAAAAACACCAATAAGTAGATCTAATCTAAGCAATAAAATATACTTTCCATTGATAAAGGCTTCATCATCATAAAAGATCCCATAAAACAAAAAGAAAATAACATAAAAGATCCCAAATCTTTCAACAAGAAAACCATTAGATTTCAACAACTAATTATTAAAGACACCAGAGTTGTTCTTAGCATAGACATCTCGACTAGTTGATTAAGCAGCCACCACGGAACCAGAATTCTTCTTGCATTCACTCAGCATGTCCATGTAGAACTGGCACTTACTGATGTCGCTTCCAAAATGGTTGACGCACTACACACAAACATAATAACACCCAATGTCAAACCAGATAAACCTCGGATACACTAGTATTCAACAATCAACAAACAAAATAAAGATCATCACATCCAGAGTCTTCTAAGTTTAAGATTAAGCTGTACAGCACATCAACACATCATGTCCTATTGTATTCATAATGAAAAACAACTTTCAATGTGCTTGCTTGTCCTTCAATTTCAATATACTTTGTGAATACATACCTAACCATAACAAGGCCAATGAAGATCTAGCTACTGATTCACATTCAACACTAAACAATCACTTAGCTAGGTTTATAACAAAAGCTCAGAAAATATTGGAATCAACCTCACATGCTCAATGAAATTAGAGAAAGAGTTTAACTTACATCTTGGAAAGCCTTGGAGTGAATGTCACAAGCACTCATGCTAGTTGCAACAGGGGAAGCAGGGGCAGCCTGAGAAACAACGGTTTCGTGCTTAAAGGTTCGTGGACCCATCACAGAATCCACAACCCTGTGTGAAACAGTATTTCCAGCACCAAAAGCAAAACCTAATTCCAAATAAAACAAACAGATCATAAGAAACCAAATCCAACCAAACCACTCATCTACGAAACAAAAATGCTTAAAAAATCACCAAAAGAAACAGATAAAAGCACACATACCATCAACTATGGACCGAATATTTCTAAAGATACCACCGCCACTAGGCTGAGCTGTTGCTGGAGGAGGAGCACGATTAACTGAAAACCCAGAAACAAAACACAATTTCATAACAGAGAAAATCTACAAAGCTACACAATCATATCACAAAATTGCATCGAGGTTGAAATTTACCAGTTTGAGGAGGTGGGCTTCGAGCAGCTGCAGGGCGAGAAGAGCGAGGAGGACGGTAACCAGATCTTCCTGCACAACAATTTGATCACACAAAATCAATTTCTCCCTCGTTGCCACAATCATGAACCCTAAAACATGTCGTTCCTCTACATAATCGCTAAGGAGACTGAAATATTCTCTAATCGGAAAATATAACCCAAATTGTAACATCAAAGGAGAGGATTATCACAAACTCAGGAACAAATGATAAGACTACACAGCAAACCCTAGATTGGAATGCGGCAAATCCTTAAATACCCAAATGTGAAGGAAGAGATCTGAAATCAAAAACTGGGAAAACTCACCTCCGGAGCTACCTCGAGGCATTTTGAATTTCAGATGTTGAAGATTACTACGTGATGAATTCTCCGGCGAAAACTTGACGATACTCTGCGACCAAAAAGCACCTAACCGACGAAACGTATATTTCAATAGAGGAAAACGACCACGGGAGGATGGACACGTGTAAAGTTTTGATTGGTTTTCACTTGCGAATCGAACTCTCTAGATTAGAATATTCCCCCTTGCCCGTCACGTTTCTTGCGCTCCAAACCCAAATTTTGTTTCCATTTTTTATTTTTCCAGAAAAAAAGAAACACGGCGAAGTTGGGCTTTGACTGGCCCATAAAATACAACTAATTTACAGTTCATAATATTAAAAACAGATTATTTATTAATTTTGTACAGACGCATGTTTTTTACTTCTTTTTATTTTTATACAAATTGTGTTTAATGCACAACGCCCTGTACTGTATGTTTGAGAAAGCTTCTTTCAAGGGCTTAACACGCACAAAAGCTTCACTTAACACTCTGTCTGGTTGATTAATGCCGTGGAACATCTTCATCATTGGAAAATACTTAGGTTTAAGTTAGATGATTCACTTTTCATAAGGTGGGTTTTGAACCTCAAGGTTATGGAGGTTCAGATGTGAACACAGCAGCATCATTAGATTAGAGCTCAAGAGTCAAGACCACATGTGCGTTTAATGATGTCACACTGAAAAGGAAGGTTTATGTAAGGACCTTCTGAAACTATGATGTGTCCAAAACCCAATTCAGTCTGACCTTGTTAATGTCCCAATTAGCCTCTGTTTTGAAACTTAACAGAAAAGGTTCTGTATTCTTAACACCACTTGACCAAAATTAGTCTACTGTAATTCGATTGTTGGAGTAAGTTCCAGCAATAATAATCCACTGATAGAGTACATGGAATTAAGATATAAGTTTTTCATTCAATCAAATCTCAATTTCATGTGTCTAATGTGATTAACATAAAAAAAAAGGGGAATATTAAAGAAGACATTAGACTAACTCAATCAAAGTGGTTCATGAAAATACAATTGTACAAAGAGTCAAAAAAGATCCCTAACAAGAAAATGAAAAGACTGAATGACACAAAGAAATAGATGAAAAGCTCTTTTTATTTCTCTAGTGGATGAAAAAGATTGGGTTCTAGTTCAGGTTGAGTGTTCTACTTATCCACCCTGCTTTATCTGAGGAAAAAAGGCGTGAAGACGGTTTTCTGCTGCTTGGATTTGATCAGGTGTCCCAGATATGCAAATGGTCATATCCATCATTCTTCCTGGATAAGGTTCAAGGAGTGACACAAACGCACCCGATATCTGATTACAGAACATCAAATGTTAAGCTACAACTTTTCTTCAAAGGTGCCCTATTTCTTGTCTATCAAGTAATCAAAGAAAGATTTTGTATCCAGAATATGTGTTACCTCTCTCAGACTCTTCTGTAGACGATTGTGACCATCCTTTCCATATCCAAACACAGAGCTCACATCATGTTCTGAAACTCTATATTGCACAATTTTGTTTCTATCTCTTGTAGAAGATAATCCTCCACTTCCATCATTTACATTTCTTGGAGCAGCAGGTGGCTGTATTTATACTATGTATGTCAGCTAAAGAAACCAAACAGAGAGAGGGGAAAAGTAAGAGACAGAGACATACCGGTGACGCCCACAACGGAAATGAAACTTGACCAAAATTTGGAGCATATCCAGTAGTAGGACTGAACCAATTAGGAAATGAATCTTCTGGTCTTATGCAAGGATTGAAATAGTTAACTGGAAAATGAGACCCCATTTGGAAGGATTGGTTGATAAGATCCTCTCGTAGCATACTGGTAACTTGGTTTATAGCTTCTTTCACATTTGGGAACGCTCCTGAAATCTATTGGCAAGCAGAATATAAGACAACATCCAAACAAAAGCAGTAATTCATAGAGTTCTCTCTGAGTTACAAGCAAGTGTACCTGCACAATTTGATTGTTCTCTGAAACACATTTTGGGTTCTGCTCAACGTTCAATACAGTTATAAAAGCACCAGTTCTTTGCTGTATTGTAGATTTTATATGCCCCTCTTCTCCCATCAAACAATTAATCTGATTTGAGCGGACCACAAGCCGTGCAGTGATAGATGACGTTAAGCCACTGTCTAGGACTTTTGCAGTGGTATTCTCATACATTTTAGAGAAAACAAGAACTAAAGCTCTCTGGGATGGGGAGTTTTTGGCATTAGGGTCCTGCATGATGAACAAGCAGAAGATAAAACAAAAGTAAACGAAGAGATATGGAAAATGGGAAGAGTTAAATGAAGACCAACCTCTGATGCAGTAATTGTAAATAAGCCTTCATCACAGTCAAGACGATTACTTCCCAAGGTTATAAAGGCACCTGTCTCACTTTGAAGATCCCTGATAGTGGCACGCCCATTCCCAATAACACGACCAATTCTTTCTTTCGAACAAAGTATCTTCAGAACCACTTGTTGCTTATTATCTTCAGAATCTTTCCTTGGCTGAGAAAGATTTCTATGCAAGGATTCAAGAGGATCCAGTTCTCTATGCTTCAGTCGTGAAACTGAAATATCTCCCTGGAAAACATTAGAAGCCCTGTATAATGCTTCCCGTGGAACCACGTTAGTCTGCATATTGTGAGGATTCCCTACCATCTTTTTCTTAAAAATCGACTGACAAGCTTGCAGACGACTGGATATGGATACTAGAACTTTCTTCACTGCAAAAACGTTTCCTTCTATCTGCCACATTTTGATAGGTTAACTCAGCATTACAATTAAGATTCTGATAACACAAGCATCTAAAATGTTATCCCTAGCATAAGTGATCGAATTTTAACGATTGCGTGCCCATGAATGATTCTACAAGAACTTCACCCAAAAAAAGTGCTCTGTAACGACTAATATTTGACCAGTACCCTGTTTAGTCCAACTTCTTTAAACGAAAAGAACTGTTACTATACTGAAAAGAAACTAGGTCAGATCGATGTAAAAGTCATGACTAAGAAAGATGTACTAAATTCAATTCATATTAATCAAATTCTTTACTAGAAAAAAGGAAAAAAACCAAAAGCATTCAAGATTCAGAGAATTTACTGAAATCATGATGTCCTACCTTCACCATCACGTCATCAGGATCTGCGCAACTTGGTAAATTATATTGGCATATTTCAACATTACAACCAGTTTCCTTCCTTATCATCTCCATCAATTCACCTCCCTTACCTATGACAGTAACCACATGGCAAGCTTCCATTAACAGCCTAGACGAGACGGTACTACTAGTCCCAAATCTGACATTTAGAGCTTCGAAAACCCTAATCAACGCTCCTTGTGCTCTGGAGACTTCAACTTCTTGTTCTTGCACCTCCTCCTTCTTCCTGTTGCTAGCATTATTAACAATAACACCTAATTTTACCCTAGACGTCGAGCCTACATCAGCGATTATCGTGATGACACGGTACAGAGAATCAAGAGGAGCCTTCTCGACCCAGATTTGGGAATTCGTTGATTCTTTAAGCTGCCTAATCACTCTTCCATCTTTTCCGATCACATCGCCCACCTGAGACACGTGGCCGAGAATGCGAAACAGTACGTATCCTTCCGGTGGCGACTGCCGCGGCACACGAGCGGTAGATTGCGCTCCGAACTTCTTTCCCTCCATTCTTTCTTTCTTTCTCTCTCTAACGGCACTTCTTGAGGAAGAAAGAATGAAAATACCAACGGTTTTGCATACGGCGTCGTATAAAGGATGAGGATTATTCACTAACCGAATCGGACCAATGAACGGTTCATATTTCTATTTTCCGTATTAACTCGAACCGAGATAGACCAAATTAACACACCATACAAAAGCCGAGCTTAATTTGAGATATTGTATTGTGTTGGTTTACACAAGCTTTCACGGAAACGTCATCAAATTTTAGAAACCATGACGGTTTAGAAGGAAATCGGTTTCTGGTTTGCTAATCGGTTTTACTAAATTATTATGATCAAAACATGGTACTAAAAACTTTTAAACTAGCAGAAACAAGATAATTTTGGTTTATACAGAAATAATTTTTATGAAACAAAATATTGAATATGTCATTACATTTCTCCTATTTTCTCCAATATTGCAATTAAATTAAAAAAATTTGAAATTTTGCGAAGCTTAGTCAAAGAAAAAATGTAACTAATTTATCATAATATAGACTTGGAAAGGTAAAGTATTTCTCAAAAAGAATGAAAGTACAAATTATAGCAAAATCAACCAGTGTTTAAAGTAAGATGAACAAAAACGTAAACTTCTGTTACTTTGAACTGTATCCAATTTTATCCAATAGAAAAATAAACAATCACTTGCAATTTAAGAACACTCAGCGAAAATTATCAATTTTCTGCAGCAGCACTTGCAGCACTTAAGTCCACAGACAAATCAAGAGTCTGCAAAAGAAAAAACAGTATTCAAAATGTTGCGTTTACTTGTGAACCAAGAAACACACAGTGAAGAGGTTTATACCTTTCCAGTGATCTTGGTGTACATGTCAAGTACATCCACAACAGTACTCTCAAAATGTGTCGTTGCATCATAAGTCTGACAAAACAAAACAAAACAAACACAACAAACATCAGAAAAAAGATAATAAGACATGTAAGCAAAAAAATAACAAATTGTTGTGATCTGATATTCTCTTACAGCAGAGATGAAACAGTTATCTTCTTCTTGATTATTGGTTGGAACGTATGTTTCATAAGAATGATAGAAGATCTCATCAATAGATCCAAGCAATTCGATTCCAGGTTTAAGCTCCTCCTCTGGATTGTCAGTTTCAGCTTCTGCAGAGACAAAAGCTATGTATTTGCCCTTTGGTGCCACATTGTGAGCGTATGAGCAACAGAACAAGTACCTACAGAAGCCAAAATCTCAGAGATTTATCTTCAACTGTTTCAAAGTAAGATCTATGTTTCTATAACTTGAATGTGTTCTTGATTATGATCTCTTACATGTCTGATTTGCGACCGAGTTGCTTCTGAGGAAGAATGATTTGAACCGAGTGAGCGTCGTTGGTGTCTGGAATAGGATGGCTCATTATACACACCGCTCGAGTCACTTTCCCAACTTTCTTTACCTGAAAGACAAGGAAACCGTCTTAGAAAGGTAGCTAGAGAGTATAAGCACTAAGCAGTTTCTGCAGTTGAAATGAGTTTAGGGTTACCTTGTCAGACAGGTAAGAAGGATCACAGACAACTTTCTTGCATTTAGCAGTTTCTCCTGCAGAAGTGACACCAATAGCTTTTCCAGAACCATCAAACTCTACCTGTTAGGGATGATGATGAAGATTCATAAGTTTCTAGCTTTAAAAGAGTTAACATATATCATTTATATACTAAATTAGACCTCTTATCTAATCGATAAACAGAGAAATAAGAGATATTATAGGTTGTCGTTTAAACCTTGCATTCAGGCTTGTTGAGCATGTAAGTCCCACCGTACACAGCGCTTAAACGTGCAAAAGCCTGAAACAGAAACAGAGTTTTGAGACAGAGGAAAAGGTAGGAAATTTAAGAGGAAACCTGAGATGTTACATGAGAATAGAGTGAACACGAACCTGTGGCAACTCTCCTAGACCGTACAATGGATAGATGTAAGGAGATCCTCCTTGGAATCGAGCCAAAGACTCCGCGTAGAGCTTCACCAGAAAATAGAAATGAAAATGACATTGAGATTGGAACATATGCTTATTGAAAAATAAAAGAAAACACTTTACCTTGATTCTCTTAACAAAATCAATGGCGGGTTGATCCAAGTAGTCATCGTCGTTGTGAAGCGCTAAGGCATGCCCTATGAAGTCGATTGTGTCATCTTCAAGTCCATACTTTCTGTTGGGAATCAACAGAGTCAAAGCGTGTAAAGCAAGAAACTATAATGAAGTGACTTCAAATGGAGCAAAAATCGTCGCACGTACGAGATGATCTCTCTAGCAGTGACTTTGCTTAAGTCAAGTCCTTCGTGAGACTTGGGATCCTTCTCATCATAGTCTTGCACGTAGATAAAGAACTTTCTCGCACGTCGCTTCTCGAAAAGACCCATCAATGGCGATTTCAGGGCTTCTACATCAGTGGCTGGGACTTTGTAGATCTGACACACATATGGTACGGATGATCAAAGTCTCAGATTAATTAACTTTACCAAAACAAAAACAAAAATCAGGGTAAAATAGACTTAAAATACTACCTTGCCTTTCTTGTAAACAAAGCTACCATCAACAGCCTTAAAGTTAAGATACTTTGTAACATCGGTGTGGATTAGGGTTTGAACAAGGAGTCCATTAGCCATTATAAACTGCAAATCAAGAAACCATTATTCACCATTGATAATCGAGTCACATTACATAAATATATGAATTCACATATGTATAATCATGCATTATATATATAATGTACCTTTGGGATCATATCAACATTGTATTCTCTGCTTGCTCCGAGATTTTCTTGAGGAGTGTCACTTCCCCTGAAACGCTTCCATAGCTGAGTGAGGTTAAGAGAGGATGATTCTCCTCCATAGTAGTCGTTTCTATCCATATGTAGTACCTATTTAAATAGATCCCAAATAAATAAAGGGAAACTATTTCGTTAATGATTTCACATTTTTTTTTTTTTTTGAAAAAGATGATTTCACATATTTGAAAAATAAATCTACTAACTTATTCCTTATGTGTTTCCAATGTTCCACATTAAAACCACCTATGATATATATATGAAACAAAATTTCGCTTTTTCTTTTGCAGCAACAAGAACACATTCAAAAGTCAAATGTTGCATTACTATTGATATGACATACCATGCAACAATTTGCAGACCATATTCATTATAACTATAATAAAACAAAAACATAAAACCAAAGCTTTATCTGGATGTGATGCACAAAAACAATTTGATGGTGAAAGAAAATGGTGAATAAAGGAGAAAACCTTGAGGCCATCGACAGAGAGAAGGCCACTAAGGATACACTCCTTAAGACCAGTCCCAAGAACAATCACATCATACTCTTCATCCATTATTGTAATCGATCTCTATCTACGTTATCGATCTTTAATTCTTCATCGATCTCTCATAGACTTTTTTTTTCTTTTGAGAGATCATAAATGTGAGGGAGGAAAAAGAAATAGAGGATGATGTGTGGCTGTTAACACAGTCTTACCACCACCTCCGATCTTACCGTTTAACCCCATGACAAGTTTTCACGTTAATTATTAAAACCGTATTGTCAGGGGAGAATTATTTGAATGTTATGGTTCCTATGTATAAAAATGGTTACAAACGCTTACTATATTTAGACGAACAGGTGGGAACAAAAATGTCCTAATTACAATGACAATCGTTTTGACCTGAACCAAAAAAAAAGTAAGATAGTATCGTATACCTTTTAGAGCGGCCTTGTATTTAAGAACTTAACCACTGTATAAAGTATAAACTCGTATATACGTATCGACAAACACATGCAAACTTCCTAAATGACATAAATACCCTTAGTGTTGCATTTTTTAATTACGATTAATAATGTAAATGTTATGTAAAAAAAGGTCCTTTTGGTCCACTGACAAAGTAGCTCTGTATTTAACCCAAACCAATAAAAGTAAAATTGAAATTGAGAGAATTTTTGTAAAAAAAAAGTAAATTTTTTAATTATATCTTTGTTATCTGATATGAGAAAAAAAAAAAGACGAAATTAATTATGAGCAAAAAGAGTAACGGAGATATGGTAAGCGGCGACGGCGATAATAACAGAGCGGAGGCGGATCAGTGGCTTGCTACATCGGAGAAGCTCTTGGCCTCAAGTGACTTTCATGGAGCTAAGACATTTGCGATCCGTGCATGCGAAGCTGACCCGTCTCGAACAGACGCAGCTGACTATATCGTCGCCATCGCCGACACTCTCCTCGCCTTAGAAACTACGATCGGAGATTCGAAAGTAACAGACTGGTACGCGGTACTTCGACTCAGCCGCCTAACCCAAAACCCCGAACACGTCGCGACTCAGTACCGTAGACTCACTCTTCTCCTCAATCCCAATGTCAATCGTCTCCCTTTCGCCGATCAAGCGCTTAAGCTAGTCTCCGATGCTTGGTTAGTCCTCTCTGATCCTCCAAGGAAATCAATGTATGATCGAGAGTTTAAGCTGAGTCAATTTGGTCAACCTTATAGTTATAGCCAATCAGAGCAATTTCAAGATTCGCCATTGCAGAGCCAAGGTGAGACCATGGAGAATCCTACGGCTACGAGCTTCTGGACTGCTTGTCCTTATTGTTTTTCACTTTTTGAGTACCCAAAGGGTTACGAGGAATGCACATTGAGGTGTCAGCAATGTAGGAAAGCGTTTGAAGCGGTTAAAACGCAAACGCCACCAGTGGAGAGTAATGGTGAAGGCGTTTACTTTTGTTCTTGGGCTATGTTCCCTGTAGGGTTATCAAGTCATGCTAAAACCTCTAATTGGTCGCCAATTTCACATCTTTCCGTCTGCACAGGGCAAAGATCATGTGATCAGCAATCGAAGGCTCTTCCACGAAACCATGATGCTGATGATGTTGACATATATATTACAATTTCTGATGATGATTAAAGATATATGATGCAAAGAAAAACAAGTAGGCAAATGTTGCACATGATAATCTCAAGGCTACTTGGTGAAAAGTAAAGCTTTGTTTTTCATTCTTTTCTCTCTGTCTTTTGTTTGTTGTGTGGTTCACTTAGTTCCTTAGGTTGTATGTATTGCTAGCTGATGTTTATAACTAGTAGAAACTGCTCTAATTTTGATTCGTTTGTGGAATCAATGTTAGATGGAATCTGTTGATGTATTTTGGTGCGAATTACGCTTTTGGTATATAATCTTTTGTATCATATAAGTTAATAACCATAAACTGCTTTTGTGTGGCATGTTTTGGTTGCGAATCATGCCTAGTTTGAGTATATGAAGGAACATTCCTTCATATATATATGTAAAACTTGTGAGGGACGTCTAAGGATTTATTCTCAGATTAGAGGAAGTATCATAACTAGCTGAATGTATTTTAGGTGGAAATAGCATTTAATCTGCTTAGTCTTATTTTGGCTGCAGAGAATTTTGTTTAGGAAATGGATCAATTAAGCTTTATTGACGGAATGTTTTTTGTTGCCGACTTGAGTTTTACTCAAATCTGTAACTTTTCTTTTGTAAATATTTTTGAATATATTAAATAATACATTGTACATGTATATGACTTGATGAGAAAGAACAAACATACACACAACCAAAAAACAATCCAAGTCGTTGTGTAGATTACCGGCCAAAACCTAAACATCATATTTTTATGGCCCTTTCATACTTGCAAATAGCAAATTTTACGTGCAAACATTTTACATTAAAACTAGATTTTAACCCGCGGTACACCGCGGGATGATTTAATTTTAAAATTAGTATAAAAATATTTTGTAAATTGTATCTTCTTATAACATATTTATTTATATTATAGTTTATAATTGTTATTAAGTAACGGTATACCACGAGTCCACGAGACAATTATTATTAATAAACGGAGGATTTAACCCGTATTAAAGCGGTATATAAATATTGATTCAAATTCGTCTGCCATATAAATCCTTTCCGAAATATAACATGTTCTGTAATTTCTTAACCCGTTCCGTGATTTGTTTTTACTTTAAAATTTAATGATTATTTATTATATATAAAAGTTTACAAATCATATCATCTTCTAAGACCACAGAATATTATACCACGGGACAATTTTTGGTTTTATACAATTTTTTCTAAATGAGACTGATTTAATATGTCTAATATTTGTGGTATTAAAAAAAAAAATTAATCCGTATTGAAGCGGTGGATTAATGATATTTTAATCTTTTTATTATTGTTGATTTAAAAACCAGTCCCGCCAAACCCGTCCGGCAAAAAAAACTCATTTATTTTATTAATGTTCTTATTTATGATATGATTCTGAATCATTGTCTAAATATTTTAATCGATGTAGAACGTTGAACACACATTTTCGTCAATTGGATAATATATGTCCGTTTTTAAAATTTCGAATCACAGTATATGCAGAATTTTTTTTTTTTTTAAACTTCATGTATTATGTGATGATTCAAAACAGTTAAAAACAAATCAAACAAAGATGATAGGAGAATCATAATTATAAATCTTAATCAAATCTTCTAAATATCAAAACTATTAAATACTGTATGAAATATACTGTTTATGAGTTGGGTTAAATATAACCCGACCCAACAAATTTTTTGTGAAGGAATTTTAAAAACGGGTCGGGTATCCGATATACGCGGAAGCATTTTTACCCACCCGTCACCAAAGTGTTGCAAAAATACTAGTATAGACAAGTTTTGATTAGTTAGTGCTTTCATTTCAAAATCAATATCGAAATGACTAAAGTTTTTAAGACTTGCATAATTTGATCTAAGTCTCATCTTGAATTTCGATTAGCTTTTTGTATACATTTTATAATTGATATTTGTGTCTCATATTATATGCAAAATGCTATTCCAGTTTACAAAGTTTAAGCCTTTTTACGTGTAGCTAAAACATGAACACGTAAACACTAAAACCTAAAATTCAACAAGATTGACAATGACAATATAGATATACAGATAGAGAGGTTAAACGAACATTTTTTTATATTTCAAAACTCTGTACATATTTTCCCACCAAACTCCATCTTTCTTCTTCCTCAAAACACCTTTAAATAGCCCATCGAATCAAAGATCCTAATCTCATCACAAACACAAACCAACAACAAACACCACAAACAAAGCAAAAGAAGAAACAAAAGCAAGAGTTCTCAAGCAAGCTCAGACATGGCACTAATGAAGCAGAGTCTCTCTGCTGCTCTTCTCTCATCACCACTTCTGATCATATGTCTTATCGCATTGCTCGCTGATCCGGTTTCAGTCGGTGCTCGCCGGTTATTGGAGGATCCTAAACCGGAGATACCAAAATTGCCAGAGCTACCTAAATTCGAAGTTCCCAAGTTGCCGGAGTTCCCTAAACCAGAGCTGCCTAAGTTACCCGAATTTCCAAAGCCCGAATTGCCGAAGATCCCGGAGATTCCAAAGCCAGAGTTGCCAAAGGTGCCGGAGATTCCAAAGCCCGAGGAAGCTAAACTGCCAGAGATTCCAAAGCCTGAATTGCCCAAGTTTCCCGAAATTCCGAAACCTGAGCTCCCAAAGATCCCAGAGATTCCAAAACCAGAGTTACCAAAGGTCCCGGAGATTCAGAAGCCGGAGTTACCAAAGGTACCGGAGATTCCGAAGCCAGAGTTGCCGAAGTTTCCAGAGATCCCAAAGCCTGAATTGCCCAAGTTTCCAGAGATTCAGAAGCCTGAATTGCCAAAGTTTCCGGAAAATTCAAAGCCTGAGGTGCCTAAGCTAATGGAGACTGAAAAGCCTGAGGCTCCTAAGGTTCCGGAGATTCCAAAGCCTGAGTTGCCAAAGATGCCGGAAGTTCCCAAGCTTGAGGCTCCTAAGTTACCAGATATTCCAAAACCTGAGTTGCCTAAAATTCCGGAGATTCAGAAGCCGGAGTTACCTAAGGTACCGGAGATTCAGAAGCCCGAGTTGCCAAAGATGCCGGAAATTCAGAAGCCGGAGTTACCAAAGATGCCGGAGATTCAGAAGCCTGAGTTGCCGAAAGTGCCAGAGGTTCCAAAACCTGAATTGCCAACGGTTCCGGAGGTTCCAAAGCCTGAGGCTCCTAAGTTGCCGGAGATTCCAAAGCCGGAATTGCCAAAAGTGCCGGAGATTCAGAAGCCTGAACTTCCCAAGATTCCAGAAATTCCAAAACCTGCAGTTCCAGAGATTCCAAAGCCAGAGCTACCGAAGATGCCGGAACTTCCCAAGTTGCCGGAATTCCCAAAAGTTCCCGGAACTCCTTAAGCGTTATTGAACCAGAAGAAGGCCCAACTACTTTGAAGCCCATCACACGATCTTAAAGTACCATTTTACCCTTACACTATTTGTCTACATCATCGTTTCCTTAGTGAAACCATGTCTTATGGTTTTGGTCTCATAGTCATATTTCTTGTTCTTTGGGTTAAGGTTATACACTTATACTTGTATTCTGTTATATTTGTATTGTGTGTTTTCATACACATTTCGTTGTATTCGATATATATACTTTTTAATTGATTAAGTTATCTATTTAAGAGTTAAAGACATGTTTCGGTTCAAAAGGCTACACAATGAACACTAATTACTCAATTATCTCAGTTCATATGTTCAAGAAAATCAATAAAACGATGTATATCTACTATGCATATTGCAGAGAAGAAAAAAGATTTTAAAGTAATATCCAATGTCCTCATTCTTTGTCACATATCCCATGTCCAAAACATAAGAAAGTAAAGAAGACATGTACAAAAATGTAGACACTACTGTTACTAGTTGTTAAAAGATATTGATGGATTTGCACTATAGAAATGGACAATTCAAATTATGGAACTCATGTGTAAATAAACTCGATGTTGTTCAAAATTGTGCTGTTCTGAAACTTTCGACGTCAGTCTAAATTAGGAGAGAGAAGGAGTTCTTTGTTTAGCTCTCATATATACTAACTAACATGAAAGAAGACAGTGTTGTGGTTAATATACTTTGGAGAATCGGATCATCAACTTCATATCTGATTCTTCCAAAGCCTTAGTTAGCTCTTTCGTGCACATTATAAGCAGCAGAGATCTTCCTTATCGACTCAGACAATGAGTTGATTCTTCACTTTAATTAAACTCATCAGATTCTCTCACAGAAACAAATAAGAGGAAACAAACAGAGCGTGAGTGTTATGCTCTGTAATACTCTGTATTTCCCTCTGTAAGGTTTACTTTTCAGTTTAAGATTAACCAAAAACAAATATAAAAGTTTTAAAAAGTCTAAACCTTTAATAACGTGCTTTCATACGAGGATTATATATATAATACGTATGAACCAAACAAATGAACACGTTAACACTTAAACAGTTAAACCTAAACTTCAGCTAGATTGAAAGTGACAAAATAGATATACAGATAGAGAAGTTAAACGAACCTTTTCTATTCAAAACTCTGTACATGTTTTTCTCACCAAAATCCATCTCTCTTCTTCCTGAAGACACCTTTAAATAGCCATTTCAATCAAAGATCAAGCTCATCACAAAAACAAAGAAGAACACCACAAAGCAAAGAAAGAAAGAAAGATAAAAAGATTTTCAAGGAAACAATGGCATTGAAGAAGATTCTCTCTGCTTCTCTTCTTTCACCATTTCTGATCATATGTATTATTGCATTGCTCTCTGTTCCAGTATCAGTCGGAGCTCGCCGGTTATTGGAGGATCCTAAACCAGAAATACCGACATTGCCGGAGCTACCTAAACTAGAGATGCCAAAGTTACCGGAATTTCCGAAGCCTGAGTTGCCTAAGATTCCGGAGATTCCAAAACCTGAGTTGCCTAAGTTACCGGAGGTTCAGAAGCCTGAGTTGCCGGAGATTCCGAAGCCAGAGGAAGTCAAAATGCCGGAAATTCCCAAGCCAGAGTTGCCAAAGATGCCGGAGATTCCGAAGCCTGATTTGCCGACGTTTCCAGAGATGCCGAAGATGCCGGAATTTCCCAAGTTCGATGCTCCAAAGTTACCGGAATTGCCAAAACCAGAAGAAACCAAAGTGCCGGCATTCACAATGCCAAAGTTTCCTGGATCTCCATAAGCCCATTATATCAGAAGAAGGCCCAGCTACTTTGGAGCCCAGTCCAATTTTCTGAAATTGTTGTATCACCCCTTGTATTATTTGTCTATTTACAGAGATGTGCTTCTTTCTATTTCTTAGCTCATCCTTGTACCTTATTGTCTCGATTGATTGTGTTATACTTTGTATTTCTTGGTATGTTTTTTTTTTTTAAATGAAATTTCTTGGTATGTTTGATACACATTTAGTTGAATCTTAATATACTTCTTTTAGTGAATTGAGTTAATAAGATCTTATCATAAAAACACATTTTCTATGACTTAAATATCAAAGAGGAAAAGATAACTTTTGTGGTGTCTCAACTCATTGATCTCAAGAAACAACCAATCAATGCGAATATTGAATAATTATACACAAATAATTTGACAAATACAAACTTTTAAAATAATGGACTTATCCACCAAAATTTATAATCTAATGATTTGTATTGATACAATCCCCATATCATAATTCGATTTTAAAAATGTACGAATGTGGATTGCATTTGAGAGAAAGAAACATTGTAATTTTTAACTTATAAACATTTTTCAGTTTGTTATAATCTAATTTAAGTATTTGTATTTTTAACTTATGAAATGAAAATTTTATATTATAATTAAATTAAAAATAATCACCAAACAAATATAAAAATACATAATTTAACTTGCAAATTTTATAAATCAACTAAAAATCACTAAACAAATAAATCTCTTTTAAAAATAATATAACTTTCACTTCTAGGGTTAAGCCAAGGTCCTCATATATATATGGATCCGCCGATTTTGGCAACTTCTTCGCTGTTCATTTGGAAAACGTAAGCAGACCACAGATTTAGGGTTTATCCACCTTATCCTTCGCCGAGATCCAACAATGGTAAGTTTCCATATCTGCATCTCTCTGAATCTAGTACTTGTGCTATCAAATTTCCGAAATTCGTGGGTTTGTAATTTGGCTATAATGGGATTCTCTAGGCTGATGTCGAACCAGAGGTTGCAGCAGCAGGAGTTCCAAAGAAGAGGACGTTCAAGAAATTCGCCTTCAGAGGAGTCGATCTCGATGCTCTTCTCGACATGTCTACTGATGATCTTGTCAAGCTCTTCTCTTCCCGTATTCGTAGAAGGTTAGGCTTTGAACTCATCAGAAAAAGTTTCGTCTTTTGTAGAATCATCTCTTGTGTTCTGACTACTTGAATTCTCGTGTATAGGTTCTCTAGAGGATTGACGAGAAAGCCTATGGCTTTGATTAAGAAACTCCGCAAGGCGGTAAGATCCTTAATTTCTCCCCTTACTAATTAGAACTGTGTTGAATTGATATTGTTCTAAGTTTGTAGAATCTGATTCTGCCTTGTGAGCTATGTGTTTTCCTCTTATTGCATCTGTGTGCTTTCCAAATAGAGTAAACTTAGGAATGCTTGAGAAATTTTATGTTTGTTCTATGCAACCAAATTGGTTCAACTTCTAAAGATTACTGCTTTGTTTTGCTTGATCAGAAAAGAGAGGCACCAGCTGGTGAGAAGCCAGAACCAGTGAGAACCCACTTGAGGAACATGATCATTGTGCCTGAAATGATTGGAAGCATCATCGGTGTGTACAATGGAAAGACTTTCAACCAAGTCGAGATCAAGCCTGAGATGATTGGACATTACCTTGCTGAGTTCTCCATCTCGTACAAGCCAGTTAAGCACGGTAGGCCTGGTGTTGGTGCTACTCACTCCTCCAGGTTCATCCCTCTCAAGTGAAGACCTTACAGAGTCTTTGTTGTGCTCTTGTTTTCTTAGCTCTCATTATGCAACTATAGGGTCCTTATATGTCTGTTTTTGGACCATTTTGTCTGTCTGTACTCCTCTTGCTACTCTGCTGCAATTCTCTCTTCTTTAGTTGTGTCTAAACTCTTGTTCCATTCGTTTAAAGAAGACTCAAAACATTTTGGAAAATCTTCCATCAGCCATGACTAGTTCATACTTTCATATATAGCTTTGAAGTAGAGTAATTTTACTTATGGTGGGCAGAGGTAGGATGATTGAGAAAATGTATCTAATCTGTTCCCAATTCGATCTGTTTCCTCTGGAAACCTGTTATTCCCGAGGGAGATCAGAGCCTTGGAGCAAGATGGTCTCACCAACCATACAGAGAAAATAGTATTCTTCTACTATTATCGGTATGATGGAAACAACCTTTAACACAATTGGACTCACACATTGAATACAGTAATAGAGAATGTTTACCAGGTGTGTTGTTGTTTACCAGGCAATTGAATTGGATTATGAGGTTTCTCTATCTAATACTCAACGGCAAATCCCGAGTTTCACTCACTAGTGACCAAATCGAACCTTCAGATTAAAGTTTGTGTACGTTATTTTCCAAATATATGGGCCTCGAAGAAAATAAAAAAGAATTCATGTACCTGATAATAAATAAATGTTACTAGGTTTAGCCGAGGTATATATTTGTTCCTTAAGTTAAGTTGTTTGTCGTTTGCGCAGTCACTGTTCGAGGAGACTCTGTGGATTTTTTTTAGGGTTTCAACAAATTCCAAACAATCAATGGTTAGTTCCCTGATCTCCGTCTCTTTATCATACTATCATTGATCAAATTTTCCGACATTGTGTTTTTAATTTTATCGCAATGGGAAATTTCGTAGGCGGATCCAGAGGTTGCTGCGGCTGGAATCGTGAAAAAGAGAACGTTCAAAAAGTTTTCTTTCAGAGGAGTTGATCTTGATGCTCTTCTCGACATGTCTACTGATGATCTTGTCAAGCTCTTCCCTTCCCGTATCCGTAGAAGGTTAGAGGACAACCATGTCTCGATTTCGTAGATCGTCTCTTGGTTTCTGAGACTGATCGGTTTTGTTATATTAATTCTCGATATACATAGGTTCTCTAGAGGATTGACGAGGAAGCCTATGGCTTTGATCAAGAAACTGCGCAAAGCGGTACAAAACTCCAATTTCTTCATCAATAATTCTTTGTTCTAACTAGATCTATGCCCTGGAACGTGTCTTCTTAGATTGTGTCTTCTCATATTCATGCCTCTCTAGATATGATTTTTGCAACCAAATGGCTTTAAAAATCTTAAGATTATGACTTTCTCTGTATGATCAGAAAATTGAAGCACCAGCGGGAGAGAAGCCAGCAGCAGTGAGAACCCACCTAAGGAACATGATCATTGTGCCTGAGATGATTGGAAGCGTCATCGGTGTTTACAATGGAAAGACTTTTAACCAAGTCGAGATCAAACCAGAGATGATTGGACATTACTTGGCTGAGTTCTCAATCTCATATAAGCCGGTTAAGCACGGTAGGCCTGGTGTTGGTGCTACCAATTCCTCCAGGTTTATCCCTCTCAAGTGAATAATCAAGCTCTTGTGGAGAGTCTTTGTTATGCTCAAAATTTGAGTCTTTCGTTTCTTTTTATTTGGAACATTTTGTCTCTCTTTTTCTCTCCTCTCATTTAGATTTTGTTCAAACTCTTGTTCATGCGTTTAAATAATACAGAGCATTTTTTAATTATGTAGTACACTTTGGCTTTGCTCTGTTTTATTGAGTATTCAAGAGAACACTTAAAAATTTAGAAAATAATTCCGAATCTGAATCCAATTCTTTTGGGTACTACGAAATTTATATATCTTTGAATTCAATTTTTAAACTGCGTAGATGTTTTTTAAAAGTTTCAATTCAATATCTTGATGGCTTAGTTTTTTGACTTTTTCACTGTATTGCAGATGGTTGTGTAATGAAGATAGAAATTAAACACAATGACCCTATTTTAAAATAGAAGAAAATTCCATAGTAATTGGGAAATCACCAACTACTGTATATAAAAAAAATTCTTTAAAATATCTGTACAAAGTTTGATATCTAATCAATTTTACATTAATACTAATAATTAAGTTTTGATTCTTTTGGGGGAAATTGTGTATTTATATTATTTAATTATCAATTTTTATAAGGTTAAAGGAAAAAAATATAGAAGTTTGTGTATTATAAGGGAAGAAATCTAAATAAATATTGATTCATATGTTATTTTAGAAACTCAATAATTTATTATTTGGTAAATTTATTGAAGTTTCCTTAAACAGAAACACTGTAGGATCTATAATACATCTGTATATATATTGGGTGCCAAGTTATGTCTCTTGTCGTATCTCCATAGTAAAACCTAGCAGCAGTCACTTTCAGGGCTTCTCAAACCAAGAACAATGGTTAGCTTCTCCTTCTTTATCTCTCTATACCTTAATTATTCGATTGTTAGATCTTGGAACATCATCATAGTCTTAAATTTCTCGGTCGGAATTCGTAGGCTCAAGTCGAATCAGAGGTTTCCACAGCTGCTCTTGCGAAGAAGAGAACGTTCAAAAAGTTTTCCTTCAAAGGAGTCGATCTCGATGCTCTTCTTGACATGCCCACTGATGATCTTGTCAAGCTCTTCCCTGCCCGTATAAGAAGAAGGTTTTGATCCCACCAAAAATTTTGGTGGATAATATATATCTGGTTTTGAATGATTGGTTTTGTTTAATTATGTTGATTATTTTGTAGGATGAGTAGAGGATTGACGAGGAAGCCTATGGCTCTCATCAAGAAATTGCGCAAAGCGGTAAAACTCTAACTTTCCGATACAAATCTTTGTTGTTATTGTGGTCATAGTTGTTATTATTCTGTGATCTCCCAACATTACTATAGTTTTAGTTAGGGTCTGCCTTTAGGTTGGGTTCGATTACTATAACAACAGTCTCTAATTTACTTTAAACCAGAAATTAGAAGCACCAGCTGGTGAGAAGCCAGAAGTAGTGAGAACACATCTAAGGAACATGGTGATTATGCCTGAAATGATTGGAAGCATCATCGGTGTGTACAACGGAAAGACTTTTAACCAAATCGAGATCAAACCGGAGATGATTGGACATTACCTTGCTGAATTCTCAATCTCTTACAAACCCGTTAAGCACGGCAGGCCCGGTCAAGGTGCTACACACTCCTCTAGGTTTATCCCTCTCAAGTGAAGCCATTACAAGACTTCATTTTGTTTTTACCATTTCTTTTGTTTTGCTCATCTAAATCTATCTTCTGATGATGTCTCTTCTCTAGTGTCTTTAAACTTTTCTTATTATCGTTAAAAGTTTTCTTGGTGTTTTTCTCTATAATATTTATAGTTATACTTCTACCATTATGGGTTTTAGTCTAAACTTTTAGACTTGAGTTACAGTCTTAACATTATTTGATTTTGATCCTTATATATTTCAATAATCTAATCTACCTAATGAGTAAAAACTATTATACACTGACCACAAGTACAATTTTCACTTGAAACGGCTACAAGATAAAGTGATAAACTAATAAAATCATATGTAAATGTATTAATCGGTTCTGTAAATCTGCTTTAATTCACAACTAAATGGATTATTTGTTCAACTTTTCAAAATCATTTTCGGATTTTAAAAATTAAATACAAGATTTACACAGGTAAAGAAGGTGCAAATGAAACGTAAACTGAAAATCTGAAATATAGGTGATTGCTAATTGTAAGTTTTCTTGTAATGTTTAGTATTAATAGCTTTAAAACAAGTAGTATTAACTTAAAGTCGAAACTAAACATAAAGGGGTTCTACAACTAAGACGTAGAATGAAATATAGGTGAGTTTGTTGAAGACTAACATCACATTCTCACAATCGTGCATTGAGATCTTCTCACCAAAATTTTGACTCTTATGAATCTACTACATTCAGCTCTCTCATCTCAATATTATTTAAGAAACCATTCTCTACACAATACCAAAACACAAACTCTCTATATTCACAACATTATTTAACTCATCTTTCTAAGTTGGTTTCCATTCAAGAATATCGCAATGATTAATGTTCGCCTTCCTATTCTTGTCTCTTCGGTTTTTTTCCTTGTCTTTATTTCGTCGTCCCTCTTGTTCGCTGCACCTAGTTTTGCTGCTAGAGTAAGTCACTCTCTGGTGCATGAAGAGGTCACAAAGATTCCAGAATACACAGAACCTGAGGAGCCGGAGATTCCGGAAGAGCCGGAGCTGCCGTCACCGGAGGAGCCTGAGATTCCAGAAGAACCAGAGATTCCAGAAGAGCCTGAGGTTCCTGGGGAACCCGAAGTTCCTGAGGAGCCCGAAGAGCCAGAAGGGCCAAAATTTGGATTTCCATCATGGATTCCGAGCTTTCCTTTTCCCGGTGTTAATGGCGGTTTACCAAAGACTGAAAATACAAAACCTACATCAACAGCTGAAGAAGTTAACGGTTCTAACAAGAAGCCATAGATCAACGGGTGAAGAACGTCAAAAGGGTTGCATCTCTATAATGAATACTCTTCCTTGATTAATGATTATGTAAGTATATATGCAATAATATATATAGTTTTGGTGTGTTTGATTAAAGATGAGAGAATACTTATGTATTAGAGTCCTCGTGTACGTCATGTTTGATATAATCTCGTACTGATTCTCTCTTGTAACATGTATGTCTCTTTGTGGTACAAAAAAATTATATTTAACTCTTAATTAAAGATATATATATATATATATATATATATATATATATAATGTGCAATTACTCGTCATATTAATTATTTTTCTACACCTACATACTATATAACTCGTTCGTCCTTAACATCAAATTAGTATGAGTAGATGTTAGATTGGGTTTATTGAGTATTGACCAATATTGGTTTATTCCTCTAGCTTCAATTATTCGTTTCTGTAATGACAAGGTGTGCATCAAGACAAAACAAGAAACATTGTGCTAAAAGCCGGAACCCGTAATTCAGGACTAGTACACAAACACAAACTACTCGTTGCATTATTTTCTTCTCGTGTCGTTTGTCTTCTTCCATTTCCAACTTGTACAATTTCATTTTTTCCTCTCCAAACATTTTCCTACAAAAGATTCATTCTCCCAAACTCTTATTTTCTTATTTCTTTTCCATTAATCAAAACAATCTCCTTACAATCAAATCCTCCGGTAATCGTTTCAATGTGCTTCAAACCATTTCTTGAAGGTGGCATCGCCGCAATCATCGCCGGAGCTCTGACTCACCCATTAGACCTCATCAAAGTCCGTATGCAACTCCAAGGCGAACACTCTGTCTCTCTCGACCAAAACCCTAACCCTAATCTTGTTCTTGATCATAATATTCTTCCCGTTAAACCTTACAGACCCGTTTTCGCTCTTGACTCTCTCATCGGCAGCATTTCCTTATTACCCTCATCCATTCACGCGCCGTCTTCTTCCACGCGCTCTGTCATGACCCCTTTCGCCGTTGGGGCACACATTGTCAAAACCGAAGGACCCGCCGCTCTTTTCTCGGGCGTCTCCGCCACCATCCTCCGTCAGATGCTTTACTCTGCCACCCGTATGGGTATTTACGACTTCCTTAAACGGAGGTGGACTGATCGACTCACCGGTAATAATACTAAAATTCCATTGGTAACAATAAAACTCAAATAAATTTTTGGTTTTTATTCGATTTGGTTTGGTTCGATTATTCTAAAATCGGTTCCAGTTCTCTGTTTTTACGATAACCAATGGATTTATAAACAAATGTTGGTTCGGTTTCGATCTTAAGCAAATCGGTTTGTTTTGGTTCGAATTTTTCCATATTATTAGTTTATTACTGTTTTTTCCCACCACTATAACACAAAATATCAAAATAAATTAAACGTAAACAAATTAATTAACCCGATAACTCTCAACAGGTAACTTCCCATTGGTAACCAAGATCACAGCTGGACTCATAGCCGGAGCCGTTGGATCAGTCGTAGGGAATCCTGCCGACGTGGCGATGGTGAGAATGCAAGCCGACGGAAGCTTGCCGTTAAACCGTCGCAGAAACTACAAGAGCGTCGTGGACGCACTCGAGCGGATCGCGAGGCAAGAAGGCGTCTCAAGCTTATGGCGTGGCTCGTGGCTAACCGTGAACCGTGCCATGATCGTGACTGCTTCTCAGCTCGCCACGTATGATCACGTCAAAGAAATCTTGGTCGCCGGTGGACGTGGAACGCCAGGAGGGATCGGAACGAATGTGGCGGCGAGTTTTGCGGCGGGGATTGTCGCAGCGGTGGCGTCAAATCCGATAGACGTTGTGAAGACGAGGATGATGAATGCGGATAAGGAGAATGACGGTGGACCGTTGGATTGTGCGGTGAAGATGGTGGCAGAGGAAGGACCTATGGCTTTGTACAAAGGGCTTGTTCCGACGGCGACGAGGCAAGGACCGTTCACGATGATATTGTTCCTTACCTTAGAACAAGTTCGTGGTTTGTTAAAAGACGTTAAATTTTGATTAAATGTTACTTTTTTTTCCAGTAGTTAGGTTAATAAATTTGCCCCGATATCTTCATACATTGCATATACGTATAAAATATTTATATTTTATATAGCGATTAATGTAGTATTTTATTAGAGATTTTTGTATAAAAATAAATTATTTATTTGCAGAAATATTTTCTTTAGTAAATGCGAAAACTGATAGTGATTGAAGCAAAGGGACTTTGTCGGACGGTCCAAGTCTCTTGGACTTGGGGGATATACTTTTGCTGGGGACCTTCATTTGGTATATTCCTTTATTTTTTTGACACTATGTTATATTTTTGTGGTTGACAGAAATTATGAAATATCGCTTCTAACTTATAAGTTTTTTTGTTGTTGGTAAAAATCTAAATTAGAAATTATTCAAAAATTAATAAAAAAAATTGTGATTAACTCTTTAGTTAATCGTTTTTTTTTCAAATTCAATTTGATCATCTCTGTATAGAGAAACAAAATATTTATAAAAAAAATTTGCTTGAGTTAAAGGTGGTGGCTTTGTGTTTGTTTCTTTAGAGTTATCCAAAGCTGAGAACATGGCCCAAAATAAGTCCAAGGCAATGTATAATAGGCCCAATTTTGTATGGTCAATCATCTAACCAAAGCCCAGTCTCAATAATGTGAACTGAAATTTCTATTCAACTGTCCTTTTAACATGTTTAAATGATTTACTTCGGAATAGAAGACATCAATTATGTTACCTAAAATTTTAAGATTTTTGAAGTACATGTTAGGCATTTGGGTCCACTGGTCTCACACGGCAACGACTATTCTCATATTCTCATATCACATCATACAAAAGAAAAAAGATTCAACGAGAAATTAATCTTTAGAAAAAATATTCCAAAAAGCAAAAAAAGAAAAAAGAAAAAGAAGTCGTCAAGGCAATTAAGCACTTAATTCCCCGTGCATTTCTTTAATCATTCACTTGCATTCCTTTTTCCTTTTCTTTTTACTCTTCTTTCACCAAATTTGTCTCTTTATTCCTTTGTTTTTTTTTTCTCCTATGATCATGGATAATGGTGAATGCTCCAACATTTTTCACCCCAATCACTTATTAAAAAAATATCATGGATAATAGTTTCAACTTAGTTATGCTGAAACGAGTGGACTAAATTGATGTTTTATGAGCTACGTAAAATATAATGGTGTTTTATTAGCTAGCTTCTAAACTAGTCAAATAAAAACTAAACAACAATGTTACAATGTACTCATCGTAAAGGCGTAAATGTTCCAAATCATCCCACCCACACACCTAAAAAGAATAGTTAATAATTATAGAAACCACCAAAAATGGTTACAAATTCACTTCCACTATTTGCCTCATAATTAAAAAGAAGAAACGTTGTCCCAAAAAAAGAAAGTAAAAAGAAGACGAACATATAATGGCTTTACTTTAACGAACAACTAAGAAATTATCACGTTCTTAATTATTAATTTATGGCTTGAAATTATGGATCGGAGGGTTTGCAACTATATACACCATAATTAGTAATTACATATATACACGTTCGGCCACCTCGTCCCATTGCCTCCATAAAAGTATCAAACTAACCAACAATATTTATATTCTTTCTATCATTCAATTCAAAATTGTATGCATTTTCTAAAACAAATTTATATCGAACCGAATTAAATAAAAATATATATAGAAGAAAAAGAATTGTAAAATCAAATATTCGAATCCAAATACTAAAGGCTCATACCTCATAGGTGTTATGATTTTGCCCAAATGGTTATCTAAATTTTGATTGAGAAAGAAAAAAAAAAAAAAAAGCAAAAGCAAAATCCGAATTAACATGGTTGATGTGAACTCTTTTTCTTTTCTTGTATCCATTATTGACGGTAAATAAAGTGTTGGAAAAGGGATAAAATCGTCACGACGAATAAGGGCCTGTATAAAGAAGCAATTGTCACACTGACTTCAGTCTTCACGCCCACTTTTATTTCCTTCAAAAAATATTTTCGCTTTCTCTTCTCTTATCCGTTCAAGCTTGGGTGAATTCGTCACATAAATCTCTCCACTCTCTCTGGATCTCGACGCATAGATCTTCCTTTGTTTTCCTCCATGTAAGCTAATTTGTGTTCATTCATTTCCATCACTTAACCATTGTTTGTCTGTCGCTGTGCTCTCTGTTTCCTTGGGAAAATTAGGAAATTGTCGGCGAATTTGATGCAAAACGGAAATTTCGTAGCTTAGGTTTGCAAAATCCGAGATTTTAGTTCCTAACTTTGCTAAAAAATTCATACTTGTCTGATGCTGCAGAACATATACTAATCTTCTTCGGCTGTTTATGGTTTCACTATCCTTCACGAAGTTCAATTGTTGCGATGTTTGGTTTCTTTGGTTTTGTCATTTCTGGAATTTGATGAGATGATTCTTTGTTTTGTAACAGAATTCTTTTCTCTTTCTCTGGATTACAACAAAGCAGTGAATGAGCAAAATCTAAAAAGACATACAAGGAGAACAAAACAGAATGAGTTGGTTCACAAGTTCTGTTGAAGTGTACCGCAAAGTTGTGAGCTTGAATCTGTATTGCCGTGTTATTCTGTAAATTTCTTCTCTACCTTGGAAAAACCCATCTTCCATCTTCTTCTTCATCTTCTAAATCCTCAGCCTTTCCTAAACTCTTTGATAATGGGATCCCAACGTTTCTACGTTTTCCATTGTGAACAATATATGATCAGCTAAACCCTGAAAGCATTTTTCCAAGTCTTCTTTCTCTTTTTTCTTCTCAAAGATCAATACTTTCTCTTTCTTCTTCAAGTGATCTGTCTTTTGGTAGCTTGCTCTGTCCTGTGGAGCAACTCTAGTTTTACATTCAAGAGTTTGGAAAAGTTATTATGGTAAGTCAATCAGCTGGTCAAACAAGATTTCGAACATTCAAGTACGAGAACAACGGAGACTCTAGCAGACAAACAATTGTAGTTAGAGTTATTGCTTGCTTTCAACCGATGGATAATTGTCAGGTTTGTTGCAGCAAAAATGATATTATACTCCTTTTTGTCACATTTCATCTCATAGTATTGTGATTTTTTTCTAATACTTTTGTCTCTGTTCCACTTGCAGGCTGAATACTTTAGACATATACTCAAACCAGTGACGTAGTTGGTTTGTGAGCTTGTGTTTGTATTCTTTGGAGCTGGCCTTTTTTTTTCGTTTTGTCTCTACTTTCTTATACGATTGTTTCAAGGAAGAATCAAGAAGTGTTTCTGTTCCACACATTTGAGCAACAGCTTCCACAATCGGTATGCTAACTGAATCTTTCCTTTTTATGGATTATTGCTTTCTTGAGTTGGGGCACTCAATAGTATTTATCTCATTCATAGCCATGTCAAATGATTAGTCCCTTTCCTTTTTCGTGCAGTATTGTATTACCGTAAAGTTCCCTTGGTTTAAACTGCAAGAGCATGCCTCTTGATACCAGGCAGCAGAAATGGTTGCCATTGGGCTTAAATCCTCAAGCTTGTGTCCAGGACACGGCGACTGAGTCTTCCCGTCCTGGAATTCCTTTTCCGGAACTCGGTAAAGTATATGCAGCTGAGCATCAGTTTCGCTATTTGCAGCCACCGTTCCCAGCCTTATTGTCTAGATATGATAAGCAGTCTTGTGGAAAACAAGTTCCATGTTTGAACGGGCGATCTAGCTGCGGTGCTGCTCCAGAGGGGGGACTCAAGTCTTCTCGGAAAAGATTTCTAGTATTCGATCAGTCAGGAGATCAGACTCGTGTGTTACAATGTGGATTTCCTCTGCGGTTTCCTTCTTCTATGGATGCAGAGCGAGGGAACATTCTCGGTTCCCTACACCCAGAGAAAGGGTTTAGTAAAGATCATGCCATTCAAGAAAAGATATTGCAACATGAAGATCATGTTAATGGCGACGAAGAGTCAGACATGCACGAAGACACCGAGGAAATCAACGCGCTGCTGTATTCTGATGATGACGATAATGATGATTGGGAAAGTGATGATGAAGTAATGAGCACTGGTCACTCTCCATTCCCAGTTGAACAACAAGCGTGCAACAAAACAACAGAAGAACTGGATGAAACTGAAAGCAGTGTTGATGGTCCACATCTTAAAAGACAGAAACTACTGGACCATTCATACAGAGACTCATCACTATCCCTTGTGGGCACTAAAGTCAAAGGCTTATCAGATGAAAACCTTCCTGAATCCAACATCTCAAGCAAACAAGAAACAGGTTCTGGTCTGAGCGACGAGCAGTCAAGCAAAGACAAGATTCTCACCGCTCTGAGAATCCTCGAGAGTGTAGTTCCGGGGGCAAAGGGAAAAGAAGCTCTTTTACTACTAGACGAAGCCATTGATTACCTCCAGTTGCTGAAGCAAAACTTAAGCTCATCAAAGGGTTTAAACAACCATTGGTGAAAAACCTAAAACCCCTTTTTGCTATATTGATAAGGCATGTTTGGTTGGTTAAAGAGAAGACAAGGGACAAAAGATAATCAATGAGGTAAAGGACTGATGAAGAAGATTCTCTCAAATTCATTAACGTGGGTTTGAAACAATTAGAACACGCCTGGTGACCCTAGTGGGACCTTATCCACTGTTCATCTAGCTGGATCAATAGTGGTTTACTTTTGGATTTGGCATGCTCTCTAAAAAAAGAACCAAAGAAAAGTCACTTTCTTTCTTCTGTGCTTGGAGTGGAAGAAAAGTGAAAGAGGGAAAAAAGCAAAGTCTTGGTGCTCATTGATCGTTAATAATTATCTTTCCTCGTGAGTAATAATAATATCTCTGTGAAGGTCTGGTGGTGGTGGGTGTGGATGAAGAAAAATCAGAAAGGCAAATATTGAAATTTTTTGGAGTGGTTGTGACTTGTGGAAAATGAAATCTTCCCACTTTCATAAGGTAAAAAATTTATGTCCCCACTCTCACTTGTCTCATTATTACTCTTCTGTTGCTTTCAATCCCATACCTTGTCATCTTTTTAAAATCTCTGGCTCTTAAGCTCTTCAAAGGCCTTGTAGTTTTGTACTACTATAATGTTATTTGCTTCTGTTGTTTCTCTCGTGGGTCAACCATGTTTGTGTATCATGGTCATGTAATAATAAAATAAACTCGAGTGTTGATAATGGAACCTTCTTTGGCTTCTTCTTACATGCTGGGATTTT